TGTCGACTGCTCAACACAACAGTAGGGGTGATCCCACTATAGCAACACTAACAGTGAGTGTTCCGTCGTCGAATATGCTCGACGACGTGCGAAAAGCATACTCAGAAGATTCGTTTCTTCTGCGATTGATGGATTGTTTTTATAATCCATGCAGTCAAGCTTTGAAATGCTTGACGTCCCAATACCGCTCTTCAACCGAACGGTATTCTGTTCGTGATGGACTGATTTACTACACAGCAGTCAACGTCGACACACCTTGTGTCATCGACCAAGCTCATAATGGTTTGAGATTGCGCATCATGTATGAGTGTCACGATGCCCCAACAAGTGGGCATCGCGGTAGGGAAAAGACTTACCTCACGGTAAGTCGTAACTTCTACCGGCCCCGCCAGTATGAGTTTGTGCGCAAATACGTTCGCGGTTGCGAAGTTTGTCAGCGGGTGAAGCCTAGTCCTTCGTCCCGCGCACCCTTGCAGCCTCTACCTATTCCAGTAGAGTGTTGGCAGTCTATATCGATGGACTTCGTCTTCGGGTTCCCAAAGACGCTCACAAGAATAATGTTATTCTTGTGTTTGTTGATCAGTTCATCAAGATGGTGCATCTTGTTGCTGTACGGTAGTCAATCACATCCCAGGGTTGTGCTCGTGTCTTCATCGATACTATCTTCCGACTTCACGGTTTACCCCGTGAACTTGTGTCTGATTGGGACCCCCGCTTCATCGCGGAGTTTTCGGAAATCCGTGTTCCGTTCACTTGGAACACGTTTAAAGATGTCGAATTCTGACCATCTTGAAACAGATAGTCAGACACAACGCTTCGACCGCGTCCTCGAAGAGATACTTTGAGGGTACGCCCACTGGTTTACGAGCTGGAGTGAATTCTTGCCGATGGCGGAATTTGCCATTAACAGCTCGGTGCACGCGTCGACAACGCATACACCGTTCTTCGTGAATGGCCTACGCCATCCACTCTTACCCGCCGATTAGAGTGTGGCTCTAGTATAAGGGGGGGGTGGACTCGCTCGAACAAAACCCGATCTGATTCTTGCTCATCACCCGTCGACAATGGTGTCGACGTGATGGATCATCGATGTCGATCACATCGACATCGATGATGACGATGACGACGATGCTGGTATATCAAGCATCGCCAACAACTGCCACAGTGAGGACGATAACGCCCTCACTGGTGAAGACAACATTCTTTCAGCAGTGCACACAAAGCGCACTACTGTTGACAAGGATGAATCAGCAGAGGCATTTCTGCTGACTCGCGAAGCGGTAGTCCGTTTCGTTCAAGACTCTATTGCAGACGCAAAAGACAAACAGAAGAGAAATGCATACAAACATGGAAGAGCAATTGTTTTTTCATTTGATAAAGGAGACTTAGTTTTACTACCAACGGTAAATCTACCGAAACACGCAGTGGCATACGTGGGCACCAGTAAACTACGGCCTAAGTATATCGGTCCCTTTAGTGTGTTGCGCCGCATGGGCAACGCATCCACGATTGAACTGCCTCGTAGGATGCGCACGCATTCTACGTTTTACGTTGGACGTCTCCGCTCGTGCTATCAGTACGAGCCCAATAAGAGAGGCGAAGAACACCTTCGCGGTCAAGGCACAGGAACACACTCGAGCGGTTCCGTTTCAACGAGCCAGTCTGGTCGACTAGCGAAGCGACCTGCTCACGCAGTTGAGCGATGTCCTGACGAGATGAAATAAGCTCTTCACGAGAATAACGAATCGAACGTTCATTCTCAAGTTTCGCAAACGCAAACGCGGCACGATCTTTCGAGCGATCGTGCGCTAAGGAATTCTAATTATCCTTTACAATGTCATGAAGCTCATAACGCCGAGTCCGTTCGTTTGCCAGGTCATCGCGTTACTGTTCCGTTACACGGTCCAGCTCCTGAACATCAAGCTGATCCAACCCTCAAGCCGGATCAGGTGTTCCCGCCACCACCACACCCTTTGGTGGATTCTAGCAGTGGTCAACGCTTTCTGGTGGAACGTGTTTTGAACCACCGCGACGTGAATGGCGTCCGGACGAGCTACCTCGTCCGCTGGCGTGGGTATCCACTGGCCTGGGACAGCTGGGAGCCTCGTGCCCAGCTGATTTTTGATGACCTGGGTCTCGTCTAGCAATATGAAGAGACCCACCCGCTGCATTCGAAGAAGGGCCGTCGGAAAACGACCTCCCGAACGCGAGTACAGAGACTGCAAAGTGTCTATCCCTCGGAAATCTCAGAAGAGATACGTCCCTCCAGTAGGGGAAATTAGAGAGGTAGGCCTCCCTAGGGGCACGGTTAGAGTTGTCCAGACAACTTGGACATGAATCACCCCACCGGATACAGGGAAATCCTGCCTCTCTTGAAAGCCGGTGCAACTTGTATCGCGCCCCGACTGGGTCACGTTTCTCAAAGCTGATGCAATCTGCATCAAGTTCACCGAGTCAGGACTCACGGCCAATACACTCGATGTTATTGGTGAGGGCATTTTATCCCTGTACCAAGGCTTTGCCGTCTCGATCACGGCTGCCATTGTACCACCGATGCTTGAAAAACGCATCGGTGAAGAGCTTTACCTCAGCACGGATAGTTTCCGTTATTAAATTAGGAGGACATATCCTCCTACAGTCGAACAACGGATTTCGATCCCGTTCGGTAGTCGTGCCGGCCAACCGGTCCAACTCTTTGGATGACGGCATCCAAGGAGATTCCACCTGAGGAGCGTGGCGCAGGAACTATTTGGTCCCTGGCCTATTCAGTGGCGTCAGCATGAACACTGACACCAGTAGCATCTCGATCCCTCTAGTTGCTTCTCTCGTGGTGATACTCAGAGGCATCGCCACCATCACCAAGCGTCCTATCGTTGGATAGACTTGCGTGAGGCGGAGATTCATCGGAATAATTACTCGATCCGAGGATCTCGGACATGATACCGCCGCATTGACCAGATCCAGTCAACCTGGCTCTTGCAGTGTCCGCCCCGGGTGATCCGGAGGCGTGAGGAGTCGCCTTCGAGTCGGACGCATCATCCGACTCGCCAGAATAGATGAGCTCTATTTTATACTCATATGGATAAGGATTCGCGGTACCCGTTGCATATGCAGCGGATGTATCTGTCGCACGTGGTGACTCACCACGTTGACTGTTCACAACAACAGGTGACGAATCTACAGATGCTGAGTCGTGCGAAGTACTCTCTTTGGATGCACGTATGCGTGCAGCCGCCTTTCTTGCTAATGCAGTAGCAAATTATTTGGGTTTTGAAACCATGCGTTGGATTGGCAGATGAATGGAAGTTGACCAACAAATGCTCCCTTTCCTAAGGGTGATCCAACGGTGGTCACCCTGTCCCAATCAATTCTATTCAATCAACGGGTGATTGATGGTTAGGGGGGTGATGTAACGGGGTAGCCCGTTACATGATATTGACACCAAACGGTGTCAATAGGGAGATTGTCTAGCATGACGATATTCTACCAATATTATCTGAGATGGATAATATTGAAGGAACATTATCCCCTTTGTAGGATAATATTCTTGCGCTACTCAAACATTTATTGATAAAAGATATATCAACCATAGATTACCACTATTTCTGCTAGACGCGCGCAATGAGTGGTGAGCAGGTTGTCGTCATACGACGACGTGGTTTAATATGGTTGGATGAGGATTGAAGTTATATTACTGCTTAGCTTTATCGAATACAGCTCTCTTTTTACCTTTTACTCAGCTTAGTCGTTGAGTAGCTTAGCTTCCTCTGCACGTACTAGTGTACGTGAAGTTTCGTGGCACCCCAAACAAAGGGTGCCCCGTTAAAATCAGGACTTAATTGTTTTAATACAGCTTTACTTTTACCAGCAACTAGTCAGTTTTCTAGTTGATTTCCCTTCCTCTGCGTAGTTTACAGAGGTAGTGAGGCACCACCAACACTGTTGTCGTTGAGAGTAGCTCCAAACTGGCTGTCCAGTGTGTTGCTCTGGTGCTCCATTACAAGTGGTGTGCAAAGGGTCACCTGAGATATTCGTGGTTAAGTATTTGAAGTTAGGATTGAAGACATACATTGATCGACAATAGTATTATGAGCCCGACGTATGAAGCTGTAATAACGACCGCGTAAAAGCTTACCACAAACAAGCATTTAGGCCCACACGTGATTAGCTCGAAAGCGATGAAGGGCGAACAAAGCGCATAAAAGCAAGTGCTTAACACATAGAGGCGACAAAAGATTGCACCTCGAGCAAACAGTACATGAGAAATTATTATCATCTGTAGTACTTAATGAATTAGAAGTGTAAGATTTGCTGGTCACCTACCTCTCTCGATGATAGTGGGAATACCCTAAATTTTATTTTATCTGTTTCATAATTGTATGTCGTCGGCCGCACTTATCTGTCAACCGCGTTATCGTGCAGGTTTGCCTGCTGATTCTATCTGACCTCACAACTCGTCTCTTTGGAAGATTAAAAACATCAAGGAGTAGCGTAAACACATCCAATCCTCACTATTTTCAATAATTTACACACGCAGCACAATTCATTCCCTAGCCGTCAACCACCTAAAATCGGGTTTGTGATAATACAGAAATTGATTATGCAGAAATTGATTCAGCTGCCTGGAATGGACTAGTTTATCAAAAGAATGAGCTCCAGAGATTGCTACCCTACCATAAATATGAAGCTCCTGACCTCCCTCAATGTAGTCGGACTCACGACAATAAATGGAGTTCACGTTTGGTTATGGATCTCAGCTGTCATAGGTTAAATAACGTTCCGACAATTTACAAACAGGGGGTCGACGATAGGTTCACAGTGTAGCGATCATTTAGATAAGTGAGCTTCAACCAGAAGCTGAACATGTACATGGCGAGCAGCTTGAGACTTCAGATGTAATCGAGCATCTTCAGTCTAGTACTTGCAAACAAACAGCTAAGCTCATCTTCATTCATTTAAACGTGATGTGTTACCAGCCTTTCCTGGTAGGAGATACCCTTCTACCGGCAAAATGTCTTTCGAGGGGCGACGCTGGACAGCCACTCCATAGCGGCCGACACTCGAGCATAGACGCCAGGGTATCCGCCACGTCCACAGCCGCTGCCCCAGCTCACAACACCAATGAGCACGTCCCCGTCCAGCTGTTCTCGAACAAGTGGCCCACCAGAATCTCCCTGACAAGAATCCATGCCACTCTCTCCTCCCGCGCAGAGCATCGTGCTGTCCACGTCAAGGACCTTGCTACAAACCGGGTTGCTCACCAATGGAACGTTGACGCGGCGTAGCTCAGTGGACAAGCGACCGCCTTGAGAAGTTGCTCCCCACCCCATGACTGTCGCATTGTCACCACAGCCAACGGTATCCATGCCGTCTGCTTTGGGCAGCGCAACAGGAAGAAAGGAGCTGGATTTTCCAGCTCGAGCACCAAAAAGTCGTACGAGTTATTCCCGCGAACGTACTTGGGATGAAGGGTCTTCTTCGCGACCTTGATCTGCTCGCCGTCTTCCGTGCCACTGACAAAGTGCGTGCCAACCGAGACGTACTGGATGTCATCAGACATGCAGTGAGCAGCAGTGAGCACGTGCTTTGGCGTGATGAGGGAGCCACCGCAGAAGTCCGTGCCGTCGGCTGTCGAGCGCACACCTGTTGTGTACGTCTTCGTACCAGGAGGTACAATACCCTCGCTGAGAGGAACTGACTCGGTGTTAACGGACGCCATCATTGGCACGAGCTGCGAGATATACTCGTTGTAGTTGAGCTTTTTCGGAAGGTTGGTGCCATTGAGTTCCGGTTGACCGTCAGCACTGGTCGCAAAGGCGACTACCAAGAAGGTGGTGAGGCAAGCGATCCGATCGAGGTTGGGGCTCATCATTGCACTAGATGAACGTACAGCAAATTGCAGAATGCAGTGAGTTCGATGCGCTCTGCAATGGCAGTAGGAAATGCACGTGGCAGTAGGCGATGCACAACCGTGTCGCACGGACTGCAGGCGTCTAGGAAGGACAAAGTCTTCATGCTTGTTGTTTAGCAGGTAGTTGTCTGACCACATTGTCAGCCGAATCATACACAGGAACGCTCCGTATCATGGTTGGCGCGTGGACATTTTTCTGAGTTGACGACTCAGACGAGCACTTCAACTTGACTTGCGCGTCCGACATTGCGTACCGCCCGCCACGTGCGACTTGCGAAATCCTACAAAGCGCGTCTGAATAAAACGCTCGTGGATCGAAGGGCCAGTGACTGTGACACTTGTAACTGCTTCCTCTTGCCTTCCGCTGCGACAGCAGGTTTTCAAGTTTGTCGACCCCATCAGAAGGCGACTAAGCTATAAACATGAAGTGAGAACAGTTTCGGCCTTGACTCCAATTGGTATCTCCTTCCTCTTTGCCGTATCCTCAATCTAGCGTAATTTACAAATATGTATACTGAAAAGCTTACCTCAGTAGTGTATACACGCTCACCGGCAGTTCGTGAGCACCGCGTTTTGGGTATACCGTCTACGAAACACACGACTATAAAAACCGGTTACGAAAGATACCAGTCCCAGTCGCTCCTGGTCGTGCACTTTTCTCCCTACAATGACCACTCCTCACGGCCTCTCGAGCTCTTTGTACGCCGACTTCCTATCCGAGCACTTGCAACTCAACGAACCTCTGGAGCCCAGTCCCCATGCTCTCCACGCGCTGTCGATCTATAGTCTCACTCCTCGCGGTACGAGGCTCGGCCTCAAGACACGCGCCGTCGGATCGTGCGTACAAACGACTCCAGTCAACCGCCGTGTCGAGTCGTCGCTCGTGTGCGAGAGCCAGTGGAATCCAGTGACAACGTTCCGTCTATGTGTCACCTCGTCCCGTCACTTGTCCTTGCAAGCGCAACTTCAAGCCAGTGAGACGCTACGCTTGACTTTAGAAGCGCAAGAGTCGGCGACAGAAAAAGTACCACTGTCGTTTGCCCGCATTGGCGCTGATGTGAAGACTGCAATCGGATTTGGCGGGGTCCAGATAGATGCAGTGAATGGACCGACTTTGCAAGCCACAATGGGGACGCGGGTAGGCGCGTTTGCACTGGGATGGATTGCCGCATACGACGTCGGACTTGACCGGAGCGACCGACGCGGGCGGGTGACGACACTGAATGTCGCCACAAGTTACACGCACGACGACGTCTCGGCTTTGCTGCAAATGTGAGCGACGTAATGTTGGGGCCAGCGAAGCAGAAGTGACGGTCGCTTGCTGCTGGTGTCTCTTTTATGTGTGTGCATGTTTACTCAATGTCGGTGCTGGCTCTTTTGTGTGTGCAGAACGGACAGTGGACGCAGTGTGCAATTGGACTTGACGCAGACCGTGTCACCCGAATTGATCGTGAGCTCGAGGTTGAAATGTGACAGCAGGAAAGACACGCGGTCGCTGAGGGTGCTGGGCAAGTACGCGCTGAACAAGACGGAGGCCGTGAGTAGCTCCATTGGGTCGGACGGTATTTGGATTGGCGCGTTCGAGTGGCGCACGTCCAAGCACTTGAAGACGCGCGTCGCAGCTCAGATGGACTTGCGGCATTACGATAGTGACTCGCACCACCTTGGCGTGTCTGTAGAGATCAGTTGAACGCCAAGTCGAGTCGTAGTGCGTGTGCTCCGTGGACATGGATGGACAAATATAAGGGGACGGCGTTGCTTCGGACGGACGCTGGACGCCAGAAATGGTGTCAGAACACAGGAACAGCAGGATGAACAACGAGCTTTGATTGTAAGAAAGGAACGGCAGAAGTGTGAGCGCGCCACGTTGTCGCACCGACTGGTTGCTATAGTTACTTGGCGTAAATGACAGTGTCACGTTTGGACCGCGCAATGACGTTGCCCTTTTCGTCACGAGCGCCAGGGGCGGCCTTGGCAGACGGGTGGTTAGCGAGCTCGCTTGGCACAGGCATCTCCGTCGACACGAGATACTGCTTGAGATCGAACATGATTTCTTCATCGTCGTCTGTGAGGAAGGAGATGGCGACACCATCTTTACCGGCACGACCAGTACGGCCGATACGGTGCGAATAGTTCTGGATCTTGGACGGCAGATCAAAGTTCACGACGTGAGTCACGTCTGGGATATCCAGACCTCGTCCAGCCACGTCCGTCGCTACCAGCACATCACAATAGCCTTCACGAAACATCTTGAGGCTTTCCTCGCGCTGGTCCTGCGTCTTGCCACCGTGCAAGATTGTGCAGCGGAAGCCTTCATTGGAAGTGAATTTCGCGACCGAATCACATTCTTTCTTGATGTTGACGAACACAATAATCTTGGCGCCATCCACGACCTTCTCCTTCCGAGACCGCGGCATTGGTACTGACTGCGTGCTGAGGATGTCACGTAGCACTTCTACCAACTTTGAGCGCTTCTTGCCCGAGTTCATGAACATCACGCGCTGGTCAATACGCTTGTTCTTGCCGGAATCCTCGTCACCGATTTTGACGATCGAAGGGTGCCGCAAGAACGTCTTAGCCAGCCGCTCTACCTCGACAGGCATTGTAGCACTAAACATTGTTGTAACACGGAGGCGGTGCTGCAGCTCTCCACCTGGCTGGGCTCCATTCGCCAGAGTAAGCTGTTGTTCCATCTCCTCCTCATTCTCAGACTTGAGCAGAGATCCCATATTTTCTAGCACGGCTACCACTTGAGGCTCGAAACCCATGTCAATCATGCGATCAGCTTCATCCAGCACGACGTAATTACACTGGTTCAATACAAGGTAGTGACTTTCCAGACAGTCCATAAGCCGACCAGGAGTACCGATGATGATATCCACGCCCTCACGGAGACGAAACCCCTGATCTTCAATGCTTTGTCCACCGACAACTGATAGCGTCTTTATGAGGCTCAGCTTTTCGGGCAGCCCCACGCTTGTGTACTTGCACAATTTGATGGCTTCCTGCTCAATCTGCAACGCCAGCTCGCGCGTGGGCGCCATGACCAGGGCGAGCGGACCTTGCTCGCCAGTTCGCGCTACCATCGTAGCCGGGAGCGAGTAAATGTATGCAATAATGGGGATAACAAAGGCCGCAGTTTTGCCCGAACCCGTCTCAGCAATACCAATGATGTCACGCTTCTGTAGACCGACAGGAATAGCTTGCATCTGAATTGGCGACGGTCGTTTGAAGCCCATCTCGTCAATCGCTTTGAACACGGCATCGGGAAGTATGTCGCCAGCTTCGTCCCATTTGCGCAGTGGATGAGGAGCTCGACCACCTTTTAGCGTAATATCAAAGTCCTCTCGAAAAATACGCCAGTCACGCTCTTTCATCTCATGCAGCGGTTTCTCAGACCAATGCGTGCCCATCGTCTTGGCTTCCTGAGAAGCCATCTCCTGCATGCGGTCCCGCTTACGAGACTGCATACTGCGCAGCGCACGCTCGCGGTCGTGCTTTCGAGCAGCAATCTGCTCGCTGGTCAAACTGCCATCCGTTTCGTCGGCCAGTTGCTGTTCCTTGTGCCGCTTATGACTGAGCTCCTCCAAAAACGAGTTTTTCTTGCGCTGTTCCCGCATGTCCACACCAGCTCGATACCCTCGTCCGAAAAGCAGATTCACGTCCATGCGCTTTGCATACAACGGATTCAAATCAGCACTCGTATCCTCCGACGCCTCCCACTCAAACTGGAAGATCTTGGAAAACTTCTCGCTCGCCTTGACCACTTTCTTCTTCTTCACAGTCTTACCCAAGTACTGATCTTTCAGCGCTTGCAGTGCTTTTGCTTCGCTCGGATCCAATAAGGTCGACTTGGTCTCGTCTTTACTAGACGACGCACCCTCCGTCAACGTCGCTCCATGCCGCGCACTTCTCGAGCCAGTCCTTGTCCGATCCTCTCGACTCGAGTCGCCTCGAGACCTCACTGCTCGAGCCCGCTCCTGCTCTCGTTCACTCCGTTGACGCTGGAGAAACTGACGTCGAGCTTCTTCTGCCGCCTTCCGCTGTCGATTTACCTGTTCCATGCATAGCACCGCATCACACAACAATAAAAGATCGGAATGTATCCAATAAGTCAGTACTTCACCTCCGTCACTTGGAAACCTGTATAGAAATCATTTCTAAAAAAAGCCCATCCACGCACTTCCTGTCGCTTCATCTCGAGCTGCTCCAGCGCCAACTTCTGTCGCTGCGCCTTCGATAGAAACGTGGGCTTGTCCTCCAGAGACTCGTTTCCAGCACGTACAGCTCCTCCGATCTTCATCGGCAGCTTCCGACCGCTCGTAGCAGCCGCAGCAACACGCGCGTCTTCATCTTGAGGCCCTGGATTCGATGACGTGGCAGGCGCTTGGCGCTTCGACGCGCGCTCTTCGGCTCGTTTGGCAATGACAGAAATACGCTCTGCTTCTCGACGCTCTTGCTCGTTGAGGTCGACCGCTGGCCGCTTGCTCGTGGATCGTGAACGCGACGGAGAGCGGCGCCGCTTCGGTGGGTCGACCATGGACGGCAGAAAAGCGTGGATTAGAAATGGAGATGGAGTCGAAAGCACAAAAAGCCGATAGACAAAACATCGAGATGTTACGAGAATATCACTTTGATGTCATTGGAAGAAAAAGAAGATGAACGAGAAAGCAAATCAGGATAGGCTGTGCGTCGATGGCGACTTGTTATGATGAGCAAATCAGGATAGGATGTGCGTCGATGGCGACTTGCTATGATGCATGTCACTTTGCTGAGATGGGTATAGTGAGCTGTCACAGGGTGGCAGTCGAAACTCACCTGTCGCCAGCACACGGCAATGACTCGTTTTTATTCAAGATACACCAATAATTGTCTATATTGGGTCAAAATTATACGCCGTCTCTGTGCGTCGTCTACTGTGCAGCTGCTATGCTTCAACACTGTTGATCTAGCCACCACCGTTGCGAACATGGGCACATGTCTTGCACTTCTTCGAAAAAGCCTTCAGGACAAAGTGGTCACATCGACAAGAGCTGCAAGATCCTGATCCATCAACACCTGTCAATGATGAGCGTCGTTGGGACCCTCCTCCCGAGGCTTCAAATTGAGCGACCCCTTCCATAGCCTGATCAATGGCGTTGTACAAACATCGCGCAGCGCGTGGATGAGGTACTGCCCCACTCAGGATCTGTTCCGGTGTCAGTTGCTGGCCATAAAAGTTGCTGTTCATCTCCGTCCGCGCAGTGATGACAGCTCCGTGCAGCGAAATGCCAGCAAACAGTCCTCTGCTGTGAGAGTAGCTGTAGTTGGCGTTGAACCCACCGCGACTAGCTGCGGCCTGCGCCAATGCATCGCGTCCGTACGGTCCAACCGCTACGCTCAATCCACCTCCTACATTAACTTGAGTCCGGTGAAAGACTTTGACCGCTTTCTTGGAGCCCATGATAATCATAAACTCAATCAATTCACCGCCCCCCTCGAGTCCACCTCCGATACCTGCTGTACCTATTGCAGATGGTGCAGACCATGAGCCATTGTCCAACTTTGCAATGACGATACCCGTGCCAATCTTGGCAGTGATAAGTAGTCCTGCCTTAACAACAGTGAGAAACGCAATCCCTTGTGCTCGTTTGAGGAAGTTCGCAGGAATATAGCGGTCACTGTCAGCACCAAAAGCTGGTCGAAAAAAATTGCCGAGAATGTCCGCGGCGGAGCGGCACGCGCTTTCCAGTGACCGACTGAACGGAAGGTGCAGTCGTGTCTTCGACTCATGTGGGTTTTCCTTGTGGCAATTGGCATACTTTGCATTGAGGCCACTCTGAAAACACTGTAGAATGGGCGCACAAATGGTACACACCCGTTGTGGGTGTGCGGGGTCGTACTTCTTCTTCATGCTCTCACGCGCTACCTGACTCGGCGAGATTAACATCCTGGCCGGGGAGCACAAGTGGCACACACTCGCTCCGCACTTGCGACAGTGATGTCTGCGTCGTTTCATGTCAAACACTTCGCTGCAAATAGCACAAATTGGGTGGTCGGCTACCTGTCGACGCATAGTGAATCTGGCAACAGGAACGACCTCCCCACTCGTGCTACTCGACGTGTCGCTACCAAGACTGTCTCCTCGACTAAGGTCCGCGTCTGAATACATTCGTCGGTTCCTGGATTGACCCAGAGACTGAGTTTGCCTTCCACCAGAGCTACAAAGCGGCCGTTCCCTAGCATGACCCAGCCCCGCACGAGGTGTCGCCGCATCTCCTCGCTTGAGCTCCTTCTTGACATGAACGTGCACCAATTTCTTCCTCTTCTTGTCGTCTGGAATCAGTCTCGCTAACTGGATCAACACGTGCTCCAACATGAGCTCTCCGCCAAAGTACGTGGCCAGTCTCTCGTAAAACACGCGGGCTCGGAGCTTCCCTTGTCCATATTGTTTACAGTCGGTTTTAAACGCCGTGACGACCTCATCGTGCTCGGAATTAGCCCCTCGAACAGCTGCTAGCAATTGGTTATAAATAGCTGCCGCTTCTTCCCCTGCAGCAGCTGGTGGGACTATGTGTTTCTCCTTTTTGGGTTTTTCATCCTGCTCCTTGGGCTTTTTTGGTTTTTTTCGGTCTTTCACGAGGTTCCGACGGCTGCTCCCGGATGACGAGTGACCTGCAGCATGAGTGGTCAAAATCGATGACGGCGATGCATTAGCAGCGAAGCAGGAACCACAGCGAGAGCAGAAGCGCGTGCCTGGTGGAGCCCCACTGCGGCAAGACGGGCACGACGTCATGCGTGGAATGGAAGGAAGTCTGACCGGCTTGATTATTGACGGTCTTGTGTAAGTTGACGAGAGTTTGTTGACGTGCCTCGCTTTATTCGATGCTACAAATAGAGCGATCACATGATAGGGGAACGTCTTGACTGGCGTTACATAAGTGCGGTTTCTAGCTGTCGTTTCGTTTTGCGTCGTCTTCCCTAACCTTAACAGCAACGCGCTTTTGTATACATCATCGTATACTTTCAGTACACGTCCTGGCGAAACCGTAGCAACAGCTAGCGAATGCAAACGAACGCGGTGGCGGACTCCGATTTAGTGGACTTTACGACTTTTATGAACCTTTGCTGACGCTGTCGTTGCCTTGAATGAGGATGCTGGTAATAGTGGCCTTTTCGCACTGGTAGTTGTGGGGAACCGACAAGCTTGACGCAGAATCAGCCCTCGGACCACCGGTAGTTATCGAAAGTAAAAGGGGAGCGTGTACTAAGGAAAAGGTCTAAAGAGTTCACCAATCGCTCTAGCCGAAGCACTTGCATGATCATGCTCCTCAATAGGTCGAAAACACGGCGCGCATCGCACTGTGTAGATCTCCTCGAGTCTCCACACGCACCCACTTCAATGTCAATTTCCAACAAGTTGCAGCAATGCAGGTACCGAGCTAATTCTATGCGACGGTTTGCAGACAAGCGTCCAGTAGAACGTGACGTGGCCGTGCTGCTTCGTTCTCCGTGCTATAATTCTGTAATCTATTGTCCAACATCAATCTTGACATGGCATTGTCTGAACGTGGCAAAATGATTCAGTATTTAGTCGAAACCGCCTGCATGACATGGCGATCCCGCTTACACACTTGGTACATCGTCGTCAATAGTCTCGAGTACGCAAAGGGCTGTCGAATGAATTTGGTTGCACCAAAGGGTTGGTCAATCCAATCAAATGAGATGTCGAGACCACGCGAAAGCCCAGGACTAAGGAATGCCAAGGCAAAGACCGACGGTCCGTTCAAGACGTCGATCGACGCGCACCTCTTTTTTGTGCCAGGTCAAATTCACTCGTAAACGCTTTCAGTTGGCTATTCCTCCGCCTCTTCAGCTCGAAAGCTACAGAGCCCTTGCGTAAAATGGTCTTCCCGTGACGGATCCCCCATGTCAGCTTTGCTTGTACAGGCCTCTGTATACTATACCGGATCTCTAAAAACTATGGATAAAACTGAACCCTCTTTCGTCGGCCATCGTCTCTCAATCCCAACATCATGGCTGCCAGTAACCCGCTTGTGCCAACGTGGTTTAGTCGTCATCCAGCACATGTTCGACCATTAATGGCTTCAAAAAAACGCTCCAGCAGACAGGTCAGGGTCGATATCGACGGAGGAATGAAACGCTTTCGTCCTAATTATCCATTTGGTACCCCCCCCCGTATACTTTCCTCATTCTTGACAACATCGAGGTTCAGGACAAAATAAAGCCAGCTCGAAATCAGATCCCGGATGACTACAGTTGCGCACACGCCAGTATTCCTTTCCACGGGTTCTGTTCGTCTACTGACTCGAGCAGCACCTTACCAAGTCAAAAAGTCTGTCCCTAATAACAAACCATCTCACGGCCAACTCCAAATACAACACACGGTCCAACAATTCACACAGAGCTCCGAATCATGGAGGAAAGAAAAACTCGACCGTCATCATTCCTCAAACGTTCTTATCCGCCCTCCCCTCCCTCCCTCCCGTCTAAATTAATAAAACCGCTCCTCTACCGGTTTCTCTCTCTCTCGCGCCCACGCACACACACACCACCTTTGCCGAGCGCCATGGGGAACGGCGTGTCCAGCGAGATGGAGATCTTCGCAGACGGCGAGATGGAGGCGGAGCTCAAGCGCCTCGGCGGCACGGGCGACGCCAGCGTCAAGCAGCTGCTGGGCCAGGGCTACCGGGACGTGGTGCAGCTCCTGGTCCGTCCAAAACGCGCGCTCTACGACCTCCACGAGCTCGGCCCCGAGCGCTTTTACGTCGGTATACTGAACGCCAGTCAAAAGCAGGACCTCGTCGTCATGGAGTCGAGACGGCGGGACTTTGACGTCACGAACGAGCGCGGACTGCGCGTTTGCTGCTCGCACTGGCGGCTCTTCAAGTCCTCGAGCGAGAGCAGCAGGAGCGAGAGCAGGAGGAGTACCTCTACACTGGCAGTCACACCTTGTGTGGTCTACTTGCACTCGAACATTGGCTCGAGACGGGACGCTCTGCGGGTACGAGATGCGGCGCTTGAGCGCGGCTTCTCGGTCTTGGCCTTTGACTGCTGTGGCTCGGGGCTCTCGGACGGGGTGTACGTGACCATGGGCTGGAACGAAGCGATGGACCTCGTTGCTGTGCTCCAGAGTGTAGAAAGCGACGCGTCGGTCTCGGAACTTTGTCTCTATGCACACAGCATGGGCGTATTCCCTGCAGTGACGAATCTGGCCGTTCGAGCAGCAGGTGCGGCCAATTGGAAGATGCAGGCGAAGCTACAGACGCTGCCACGTGCACTGCGGACGGCCGAGACTCGACAAAAGCTCAAGCCGATCCGGGCACTTGTGCTTGATAGTGCCTATGCGTCGATGAGGGACGTGAATGTCGGAGTGTTGCGGGAGATGCGAGACGAGGGGTTCGCTGTGCCCAAGGCGGTGTTGAATGTGGCGACGGCAGCGATCAACCAGAGCGTGAAGAAGCGCACGGGCGTGGACATGGAGTTGCTGCGACCCGTGGACTTTGTCGGGCTTTGCTACGCTCCGGCGCTCTTTGTTACCGCAAATGGGGATCGCTACGTGTGCAGCAGTCAGAGTGAAGAGCTTGTGAGCAAGTATGCCGGACCGTGCAAGTTGCTGCGCGTAGAGGGTGCTCACTATGACCCGCGGGCCCCCTCGACATACACACAGACGATCGACTTTCTCTACGATGCAATGCATCCAAGGATGCAAAACGTCGTAGCTTCGGTACAGTGACGAAAGTCGACGTGATTTATATGCACGTCTTGTCAAGAGGACGCGGAGGTGTGTTACTGCTCCATTGAACCCGTCGGTTGATACCAAGCTCGGCGACGTCGCTTTTCTCGCTGTAGCTGCAGCACGAGCATTGCTATTGCTATTGCTGGCGCCTCGGAGCGTCGCTGCATTTTGACGGCAGCATGGCGTAACGAGACAGAGACAATGTCAACGGTATGGCTGCACCACTTCGTTCGTTCACTCGGCTCAAACGCGAGTGTCTCCATTCATCTTCGACTCACTGCACTCCTCTCTACGACACCTGTCACCTCCAACTCCAGCACCCGAGTCTGCGAAGAGACACTGGAAGAACATGGCACCAGCCGATCTTCAGCGCCCGCATGATCGTCTTCGCCCGTGTCTTCTTGATCCAGTGCAACCTCCTCGAACCTCCGTACTTTACCACCACCGGTCGTCCGGTCTCGTATCAAAACAAAGGGTCGTCCTTCATCGGCGCACTCCCGCCTTTCAGCGACTCGGGTGCCGTAAACAACCGATGGACACCCGACAGATCGAAGCTCTCGAGCTCTTCTCCATCGGCATCCACGGCCGGGAACACGCCCGTCGTCTCGTTCTTCTGCTCGACGCCGTAAAGCGGCGGATTCATGACGCTCACAGCGTGCAGCTCGTCGCCCACAGCTTCAAGTGCCATCGCTTCAGCTGCATTCAGGACGACCAGAGAGCCTTCGGCCACGTCTTGGGTCTGTCCCGGGTCGTCGTTCTTTCCGTCCAGCAGCCGCACGCGGCCTCGGCCACGCGTCACGAGCAGCGCAAACACGTGGTTCTGGAACTCGAGACGCACAGACGCGCCTTTCTGTAGTATTTCCTGCTGCAACGAGAAGCCACACTCGTCATTGCGCACGAGATAGCGACTAGTATCAAATGAGAGAGTCTGTATTAGTTATGACAATTCCGAGGAGCTGGGTGGGTACGGAGTTGATGGGGTAGCCGTCCAAGCCGTACCGGGTCTCAAGCGCGCCGTGTTTTCCACTCGTGACGACGCGACGACTTTGACGCACGTTGTCCAGCGACCGCACGAGAAAAGGAGCAGGCGCCGACGCGTGAAACGAGCGGCTCGGCGGCCTCGCGATCATCCACGATAGGCGGCGCATCATCATCTCGTTCTCTCGCGTGTGTTGTCACTCGAAATACAAAAATAGACAGTTCGTGACGGATCTCTTTTTGCAGCCTCTCCGATTTGATGCGTTTCTATCCTTGTTCCAATGTACCGTCGTACTTAAACGAATACCACCACCACACCACGTCGTGACACCAGCGGAGAAAAAGGACAACACACCAGACGCCGCCGTCGTGTCGCCGTGGCACATTTTGTCAGTCTCCGATTCGAGTCACACTCGGACGACATGAAGACCGCGCACGTGCACGGACGACAGCTCGCTTGTTTTCGACCCAGGCGTCGATTTCGCCTCTCGACGGCGTCGCGACCCGCTCAGCTGAGGGGAAAAAGCGACGAGAACAAAGTCGAGAAGAAGGAGGAGGAGGAGGAAGGGGAGGCCCGACTGGACCTCGCGTGCGGCTGCGAGCGCCAAGTGCTCCAGTGTCTCGTGGCCGTCGGGCCGTTCACCGAGAGCGAGTTGGACGTGGCCGAGAAGTTGTATCGCCTTCGCCTGTTGAAGTGGCGCGAGCGATTCGCGGCTCGTGATTGGTCGTCGCCGCGTGTGTGTCAAAAATGGCGAGCCAATCACAAACGGTTTCTCGGACCGGCAATTGGTCGAAAATGCGACGCTGACAAAACAATTGCGACGACAACGACGTCAAAAATGATCCCTGTGCAAACGGTCAAAAATGCGTTCTCGACATTTACGACCGCCGCGGAGCTCATGTTACAGTCGCGGCAGCTGGACGTCATGTTGAAATCAGGTGTGCCACCTCAATTGCGTGGCACTGTGTGGTGGATGTGCAGTGGTGCGGCTCAGCTGCGCCATGAAGCTCTCGAGTCGTACCCGTCGCTATTGCATCGGCTCCATACATTGACCAAGTGTGCGGAGATGGACATTGAAAAGGACCTACCACGGACTTTTCCACTGGCTCAGGGCCAGTTGGTGCAGGAGTCTCAAGCAGAGACTGGAGAGGACCATTTTGGGGAATTACGCCGCGTGTTGCAGGCTTATTCGCTGCGGAATCCCGATGTGGGATACTGCCAGAGCATGAACTTTCTAGCAGCAGTGCTGCTGCAAAACATGGGCGAAGAAGAGGCTTTTTGGGTACTCGCTGCAATTGTCGAGGAGCTGACGCCGCAGTATCATACGCAGACAATGACAGGCAGTCGGGCCGATCAGCGCGTGTTTTCAGACCTCGTGACGCAGAAGTTGCCGGTGCTTGCGGGTCACTTGCACGCGCTCGGTGTGGACTTTGAACCGTTTACGCTCAAGTGGTTTCTGTGTCTCTTCTTGAACACGCTTCCCTTTGAACCGGTGATGCGGATTTGGGACGTCTTTTTCTGTGAAGGCAGCCATGTGCTCTTGCGAGTGGGACTCGTGCTCTTGAAGCTGAACCAACCGCGGATCATGGCATGTACCGATGCACTGGACGTGTATGAGATGTTCAAGGTCTCGCACGATACGTTGCAGGAGTTGACCGCACCCTATCGATCTGGACTGCTCAATCGTGACGAATGCGTTTGTGATACGCTCCTTAGGCTTGCAATGGACAAATCCTTTCTCGGAGCGATTCCGTTCGATTCGTTGCACGAGTTGCGTCAATACTACTGCCACGAGATTGAAGCGGAATTAAAGGAGGCTGAAGCGTATCGACTTGAGCGTCGACATGCTGCTGAAGCGCAGGCCTTAGCGAAAGCAAATGCGCGGAAAGAAGAACGTGGAACGGGTATCAAAGGCGACGCAGATGAGACGTCCAGAGGCTGTAGTTCTCACGATGGCGTCGAAGACCGTGCACTGATGATGGAGTACGATTTTGTGGACGACTATCTGGGTAACTACGGCTCGGATGTGTCGTCCGCGCGCCACATTCGGTTCCTGGATTTATACGACAGCGACGATTCGACTGCCGACTACTTTGTGGACGTCATGTACGACTTTACCTTGCAGCACCACTGCCGCTGAGCGAGATGTGGCAGCACCAAGATTGGCATGGGAGTAGATATTGATTGATTGCGTCGTGCGGCTTTGGAATTGACGGGAAGAAGTGCAAGGGTCGATTACATAAGCTCTAAAAAGACACAGTGAGCTTGATGAAGCAGAATGTATGAATTTTTGTGGCGTGGTGCTGTACTTTGCGCCCGGCCATGGACTCGTATCAACTGCTAGCAGGAACGCAGCATTTGCATCCACGTCACGTGGGTAACAGCTGGCGCATTTACACCACGTTGCTTGCTGGCTGCTGACTCCGACATCAAGACGGCATTTGCATATGCTGCCTAGCTCTTCACTACCGCCGTAAGGATAAAGGAATAAAGAACAATGGAGCGGACGGTCCTTCAAGTCATGCTTGCAATCTCGCTGTCACGCAGTCTTCTGCCCACGAGCACAAGTTCTTTGGCGGTCTGCTTTGTCACTTTACCTAGACTTCGCAGCACGATGCATTTTCTGGCTATCGAATCAGTCAAAAGTTTATGCAGTCTGCCGTTGTTGAAGTTTACACCTGAGCGAGCTCCGTCTATTGATCAGGTGAGTACAAGTCACATTATGATGTATCGACCTCCCCGTATTGTTGGCCACCTCCGTCAAGTCGTAGGCAGCTGCACCCATGGTTGAAAGCGGCTGCCTACGACTCGATTGTGGCTCGAACATGTCGGTATCACACAAACACTTCAGTCACATCAAGTCTTCATGTAAACAAAATGCAAATGGCACGTGTGTATAACATCTTTGCATGTGTGCAACACTGCACGTGACATCGCGGTAAAAAGTGTACCTAAGAGTGTGCCAAGAGTCTCCCGATTGCTGAATGAGGCTTCATCTCAAATGCCTGGCTCAGCATTTCGTACAATTCAGACAAGCTTTCCTGGAACAGCATCAGCTTCATTAGAGCTCACACCATCGGACTCATCAAGAATAGCAGATTCAACACCCACTACTAACTGAGACGAACGAGAACCTTCCTTCAAAGCATGGCTTATTTTCCGCCACAGAACCGATGCAAATTGATCTTCCAGCTCAAAAATGCTCGCTGCAGACCATCTACCGATGCTATCAATTACATGCCTCCTCACTCGTACATCTTGAATCGAAACTCTAGCCCGAACCAGAGTGAAATTACTCAGATGGACTTGCAACTCACAGCAGACATTCAAACCACGTGACCGGTCTCACCGTACTTTTAAAAATCCCGTCCCCCGTCTTGAACGCCGTGTCTGCGTGGTTCAATTCACACCGGTAGAACCTGTTATGAGGCGTGTTGCCAAACTTGGACGGCGGAATGCCACCGGCACAGCTAAGGAACTCCACAAGTCCGTCATTCTTCGAAGACTTGTGCGGGATCATGCTGCCGCCCATGATGTACTTGAACTGATACTTGGATATGTTCCCAACGTAGGAGCTGCTGCACATGGCTGCAAACACGTGTCTGCGGTAAACCACTTGAGCCGCATCGTAAGCAGCGTCTAACTTCTTGCTGCTGTACTTCTCGTTCGTATAGGCAATGGATCGCGTGGACTTGGAAGCGGGGCATTTGCCCTCAAACATCATTTTGGCTGCGAGGTTCTCGACATTGTGCTTGCAGTAATCCACGAGATGATCCGAAGCCATGCTGCCAAACATGGGGGGACTGAGCGCAATCCAGGTGGAGCTTGGCGCGAGGTGGCACTTTGCATTGGCAAGTGCCCCCGCAAACATCAACCCCCCCATCGAGTGCGTGACCACTATCGTGTCTTCAATAGTGCGCGACAGGGCATCGGAAGACGGTGACATGGAGAGAGAACGGTTGCACAGCTTTCTTTGCAGCACAGGACTGGTCCACCCGTAGTCCACCGTATTGAGCGCCACGTACTTGATCGACGTGCAGCACGGGGCGTGATCCTGGATTTTATCCCATCCAAAGTGACGTGACGAGTTCATCAGCCCTTGTTCCTCGTTCTCGTTGCCGAGGCCGTGGATAAAGAGGCACGGACGACGAGCGGAGTTACACGAACAGGAAGAGAACCCAAGCATTGACATGTGGGATGCCTCCATGAGCTTCCTGGAACTGGAGGGTAGTGGCAGGTCACTTCCACTGACCAAAGCAAGACCAGTGGGTGTCAGGGCAATGGCTTCAACCAGAGTCTCACAGGACGACCTGTCATTCGACTTGGTTTTCGGGGTTCTCACCACGGAGTCCGCGAGATAGTTGACGTCAATGGTCACGTCGCTCGCATAAGCCGTGAATCCAGCTGGACCCAACGAGCAGATGGCATACCAGATGCCTCCGAACGATGTCTTCAAGAGGGTGCCACCCTCGCACTCGATTGCTTTGCCCCCAATGGATGCACTTGGAATCGGGGTTGCCTCATTTATCGCAGGTAACATATCGTCGAAAGGGAGTTGACTGGAAGGGATGCACCGCACGGTTTCGGCATTCGACGAGCTGTCGTTGGTTGTCAGGTATGGGGCCCCGTTGACAAGGGCGTAGGTGATGCACAAGTGACCTTCAACAAAAGTCGCATAGCCATCGTAGCGCACTCGGGTGCCATCTTCCGACACGACGGGGGTCGCAAACACGTCAAACTCGGAGTCGCCGTGAAGTGCCATAGCGGTCCGATGAAGCGTGACATGGAGTTTCAACAATGGCAAATCAGCTAAAGACGCTACTGCTGGTGGTGCTGCTGGTGGTGGTTGTTGTTGCTGGTCGTCGTCAATTGTCTCCGAAGCTACTACTTGACTGGACGTGGCACTCGTTTTCGAGCCAAGGACCAAGAGAGCTACAGCAATAGCACTTACAAGTCGCATGTAATGGTTCATGTTTGGTCAAGAGAAAGTAAGAGAAAAAGTGATTGTGGACGGGTGTAGGAGCTACGGCGAGCGTAAAAGCTGGTGGCTTGCTACTGCGCGTGCGGTCGATCGTCGAGGAACTTGAAACCAGGAGCTCGCTCCGATTTGTTTTTCCCAACCTGCGCCACGTGTTTCTCGATTTCAGCCTGATCCACTCGGCGATGGCTACTGGAGTTTTGCACTGGACGATGGTACTAGAATCCGTCTGTATAGACCATGTCTGTCCAAAGCGCAGGGCGATATCATCACAGTCGAATCTTTTCTGCTAGACGTGCGAATCGATTGGGGTGGAAGGGCCAGTGCACTGAAAAAGGTGGATGAGGTTCGGGATCGAGTGCGATGGTGACAGTTGATGTTTCAAGCTGGTCCAGTGGTTGTTTGACATCTGCCGTGTACTTGACACTTGACTATTACTTCGTGAACGACAACTATGGAAGTATACACACGAGAGCTCGGTGGGTTGGTCGGTAGGTTACTAGGTGCTCAAGCTGTTCTGGTCTTCGAATCGTTGGCCTCCCGCATCGATTCGATCGCGTCTGCCCGTAACACACACTTTCCAGGCGCTGACTGGTCTTGTGGTGTCACAATCGTAGCACGAGGATAAGACCAAGCTGTGGGGGCTATTCCACGTCTGTGTATAGATCATTGCTTGTGGTACCTGCTGCTGGTGAAACATCGGCAGTGACAGCAGCAGACTGCAAGCTCTTGTCCGTAGAATACATGACTGGTGGCGACATCTCAAGCTCTTGCATATACAACGTCTGTCTACGAATTGCATCTATCTCAGCAGTCACAACGTGACCGTGATCCAGGTCCGGGCGTCGACCATTCGACAGATTAGAGACAAAGGGGCAGTCGACTTGGTGAGCTCAGTAGTGCTTGAAACTGAGGACGACGTAGCAACTGCTCTACTTTGCTCGAGTTTACCTCCTCGTTGTGCTACCTTCTACCGCGGGTTAATCGATGAAATGAGAGGTAAACCAAACACCGAAACCATTGAATAGGGCATTAGGCAATACAAATGACCACGCTCCTTTCTGCCGCACGACCATGTGTGCAGTACGCATGCATTCAGTCGTAAAGGGCTTTGATGCGTTACACGACGGAGTAGCCACGGACAATGCCTACACAATGGACTAGTAAGCTGACGAAGTGATCTTGGGGGGCAAGATTGATGGGGATGATCAGCGCACAGAAGGACAGCACGCTGCTTATGCGCTCAGCATATGGAAGCCAAGAATAGTGTTTGAGGATAAATGGATCAAGCTGCAACAGTCGATTCGTCACATACCGACGACAAGAAGTGCCATCCTCTCCCCGACTTCAGCGCCATTTCTCTGTCTAGGACTCCTTTGTCTGCGTCACCTTTACTCGGTCTTCCTCACACGCCAGTGCCAGTTTCTTCTCCAGATATGGCAGCACGTATGTTCCACTCACAACAAGCAGGATCAACACCCACGTAATGAGCAGTACCGTATCTCTCGGGAACGCCTCAAGCAGCACTTCTTCTACAACAATATCAAACACACACTCGTTCATAGCCAATGTCGAGCCTGGGCGTTGCACACCTTCGACTGTAGCCACTAGTGAAAACACCACGTCAATAGCCTCTTTTAATGGTGCCAAACGGTACTGCACGGACGCATGGGACTCCACCTCAATCGGGTGATGCAATCGAAGCTTTGCCGTATTCAACCTTCGACGTCGAGGAGGCATCAAGTGGCTCCTGTTCTCCATGACAAATTGGTCATCCATTGCACGCGTAACTTCATCATTATCTTCTACTACTAGCGGGAGGATCACGTGCTCGACTTGTAGCGTGAACACGGACGGCTGCGTCGCGGGGTACGATACTTTGATATCGTAAACTGTGCCCCGTTGGAGCTCCACAACGTGAAAAAGCTGGGGAACGCCGTACGAAACGCGTTGCGACGGTAGTCGAATCTCAGGGTGGAGCGTGACAGTATTCGAATCGATTGTAGTCGATTGTGTGAGTAAAGCTGCGGTCGTCAGGAGGGTCCATGGGACGGTGAACAGCAGCAGCATCAGAGACATGGCACGTTGAATGTATCAGCACAACTTCTGGATTGCGACCACTGACTTGTTTTTAGTATCGAGGATAACATCGAGTCATGCATGACATTCGGACTGGATGGTTCACCTCGTCCGACATTTACTTGTCAATTCTAGTCCGTAAGATCTTTTGCGCTCAATAGAACGAACAAGTGTGAGCAATTAGAGAGCGCATATTGAAGCTTGATGGATAGTCTGTTTGTTTGTCGCCTTGTTCATCAGCTTTGAGCGACCGCCCTTGCTTTATTTGCGCAGCGCCATTGGATGGTAGTTGCGAGGGCACGTCCATACTGCATGTCTGCGTCATCCTTATGTATGCATATTGTCATAGACCAATGCATTGCAGCAATGCCTTACTCCTTACCAGTATAACTACATTGTTAGGCACTTGCCATCAGGGCTGGCAACACCGTTTTTTTGCATTGTGTGTTTTTTTTATTTAATAAAATACCGATGAGTTAAGGAGCTAAAAAAATCAAGTGTTTTGGTTTGATCCTGTTGCGCAGTCCGTGGTGCAGTTCTCTTCAATCAGCCTCACATTCATAAATATGAGTCGTTTTATATACAAAATTAAGCGATGATGGCGCGTGTTTATCAATGCTAGGTGAGGTAGTGGACGATGGAACGGTCGTTGAGGTGGAGGTCCCCGTAGTGGATGAAGCACTCAAGCCGGTCAGGAAGACAGACCGGAACCAGAGTATGGTGTGGGATACTTCCTGGATGTCTGGTAGCCGCAGAAGCTTAAAGCAGTGGTGTGCAAACACTTCCGACATCTTATCAATCTTCACAAAAAGAGTGAGTCTGCGATAAGCCATCTGAACAAGCGCTCCGAGTTTCGTCACGTTCTGAACGGGCTCGAGATTTCGAGCGACCGGATTGGTTCTTGTCCAACAACATAAGCCGGCTTCCTTGCGGTGCAACATTGTTAAGGCCATGTCGATCGCTGCGTTATCTCATGGTTAGCGGTCCATCAAGAAGGGTTGCTTACCATCACTTTCGCGGTCGGAGAAGATAAGGTTCCAGCTCCATATCGCCATGCACTACTACGCCACAGGGTCGACTTTTCAGCGCATTGATGATGTTTATATTCAAAGAGCTATTCGGGTGCTGTGACATAACGAAAACATAATCCCGAATCTTTAGCAGCTCTCAGATGAATTGTTGAACAAGTGCTACGATATGTCGAAGGCAAACGTCGACATTCGCATGGAAGACGCTAATTTATGTCTGGTAACGGATGGCTGGTCGAGCATCAAGAACGATCCTATTATTAACTACATCGCCAAGTCTCCCACACTCTACTTTTTCCTCGAGTCAGTATGTACTGGACATAGAGGTCTCAGCTTCGATTGGATCACGCAGGACATCGCCGTGCGTATTCGATCACCATGCGCTGTCAATGCTCTGAGGGGCGGCGACTGACAACACTTCAGCGAATAAGAATGCCTGGCAACAGCTTAGCAAAGCTTTCTCATTGCGGTTCTTCATAAGCTGTTGTTATCATAAATTGCATTTGTTATTCTTCCAGGTATGTGACGCGGAGAACATATCCCATTGTCACACACCAGGAAAGGCAACGACAATGAGGCGACGTATCCTGTTTGATCATTATTTGTAGAAATGCTCATCTTTGCTTCCGCGTGCAAGGGTCAGGTGAAGTTTTTCCACAATCACTATGTCGTGAGGGCGAGTTTGCAGGAGGCTCGAAAAGCTAAGCTCTTATTTCCCCTCCTTCGACCCGTGACCACTATTTGGCGGGGGGCGTTCAAGCCATGTGTGCGTTAGTGCTTGCATTAGAGTGCCTAATGCGCAGTAACTTCAGGGCCCGCGATTTTGTCGTCGGTACGGCTGCGCAGAAGTCTGAGCGACTGAATATCAAGGACCGCTTCACCGAACAAGGACTTCATCGTGAAGCTGAACAAGGCCACTGCCATTCTCGAGCCTATCGACGCGCTAATTGTGACTGGTCACCGGTCACTGTACTGTCACAGTAAAAGCTACTTCCACGGAACACGGAGTAAGGTGGTGTATCGAGACTTCACTTAAACGCGTCGTGCAGAGGAAGGGATCAACTCGGAAAAAGGGTTAAAGTAGAGCTGTGTTTAGTATCGTTATTCCCCTAATAAAAACTCAAATTTAGTCTTCATTGAACTATTTCTTCATACAAAAATATGTTGTAACTATCTGCTCACCACTCAGTGCGTTTTTCTGTCGTGGATCGGCTTTATTGTTAAATAAACTTACTTTAAAAAACAAATGAGCAGTATACTACTTCTGCGACACAATATTACTTATTTAGCCAAAACTTGTGAGAATATTCCGTTTATCCTAATAGCATTTTCGTACTTGATATTTAACTTGTGTAAAGTATCATCTGACGGAGGTACCCCGTTGCACGAATTGTCAATTACCAGTCTAACAGTGCCCCAATTTCATAAGTTCTGCCGGATTGCCACCCCCTCGGACATTTTCACTACTATCCATGTACGAGTAGTCATCACTCAGCTGGAGCTGCAGTATTTGACGAAGATCGCGGCTTTCCGCTTTTAATTCAATTATGGTGTAACGCACGACCTGTCCTATCTCCTCGACCCTCGCCTTCTCGGTGATGGTTTGCCGCCACCCAATTTCCGTAAACTCGAAGACAAGCATTGTAACGCTTCCTTGATGACAACACGTCCGTTGATGACACTGGGCGGATGTCCTTATACACCGAATTGACTGACCTTATTTTATCTCAGCACGGCATGAGAGGGCTATGAACTCATTCCAATTTAAATTATGATGAAAAAGGCCAAGACGCCACTGCAATACTGGCTGACGGATATTTTCCAATGGCTAAATCTGCAGCCCGTAGCAGTCAAACTGTTCTCGATGGCAACATTTAGCGCTGCATCGGAACGCAACTTCTCCACAATGGCATCTATCCATTCAAAGCTTCGTAATTCACTTGGCGTGGCATCAGTTGAAAAGTTTGTCTTCATTAAGAGCGACATGAGCGCCTTTCACGACATGCAGAACGCGGAGTAGTAACTATCGGGTGAAGAAGGCGACCCCGGCGAAAGTGATCAATACAAAAAAAAGTTTGTGCGAAAATCGGGTTGTTTTTAGGTAATACTATAAACCCGATAAGTTTGCAAAACGTATCAAACGTTCTCACCCTTGGTTGGCATACTACCAGACTCACATTGTCCAGGAAGGGGTAAAGTTACTCGATGCAAATTTTAATAAGAAAGTGTGATCATGTGCAGCAGAAGTAGTCATGCTAACGGATCTAAACGATGTTCACTGATCGCGACATAACCTTAATGCGGCATGCGAACAACGACATTTCTAGACACTGCTAAGTGGCACTTGACGTCCTTCCTTGTCAGATCAAATGGGGAAGCGTGTAGGACGAAGTCCAGGAAATATATAAGAAAAGCGGATATGAAGAGGCATTTTTTGTGCTCAACGAGCCTAGCGAAAATGATATGGCTACTTCGTGCAGATACTTTCAAATTTCGCCGAGAGTGCATAAATTTGTTGGAGCTGGCGTTGCAGTCTCTGTAGCGGAGATACTTAGCGCTTTTTGACAAAGGAAATCTTAGACTCAAAGAGTCTCTTAGTAATAACAAACTAACAGCGACGTTCAGTCGTTGGAGCGTACAAGCTTGACAATCCGATTCCAGAAGGATGACGATTCACAGAATCACACACAAACTAGTCACTACTAGTTAAGCAATAGTAAGCGCCATAACAAGACCAGCGCTATTACAGCACACTACGCCTTGACTAGTCACTTGTTTCCAACGACAAAAAGGGGAGCTGAACTTTATTTGTTCTTAAACTATGGTAATAAAACCGTAAACCTTGTCTGACTTCTACATGACAGGGTTCACCATTAAGCCTAATGTTTCAAAACACTTGCAGAACTGATACTAATTACGATCCTATGACAGAAATCTTATCCCTTATCCCTAACCGATAAGGTGCGGTATTACCGTAAGTACATGGTACCAATACTGTACCACTCAGATCCACCGATCGTTAATCGGTGTAGACACACTACAAAACGGGTCCACTAACCGCCGTGTAACCTTGTTACAGTCCACTCTTGCACAAAGACGCAGCCCCTAGCGTCAGTCTCTTCTTTGTAGAACAGTCCTCCCCTTATAAGTTCCCCCCTATGGTATAACCTCTGCTAAGTTATACGATTTCGGGTCTACCGACGCCGTTATATGGCGACTATGGAATACGGAACATGGAATTCCCGCCCAGGCCCAAAATAACGTATCCGGGGGAACATTTTTTTGTCAAGAGTAAATGAATATTTTTTGGAGCATCCTGGAGCCTATTTAAGCCATGAATCTAGTGTAATTTGGATTGTGTAGCACTACGAAGTTGGGTTTGAATCCGACAAAGAGCACGGTGGGCGGCGCGGTCTCGATCCTGGGAGAGATCAAATGGGGAAATGGACAAAGCGAATGCAGCGATCTTCTCACCTAAGGAATGTGTCACCACCTCCTCCTCAGCTTCTCCTTCCTCCTCCTCCATAGCATTTTGGACGAAGTTGATGATCTCGGCGTCGCTTAAGTCCGCATGCACCGTCAGCTCCTCATCAACTGGATTAAGCAGTGACGCAATATACATCGGATTGCGCAAAGGCAGGCGTTGCAGAGCTGACTCCAGATCCTTCTCCACTTCCTGCTCCTCCTGGTCAACCAGATCTGCATCCTGTTGTAAAGGCTTCTGAATGCCCCCTGCTGAAGCGCCTCCTTCAACTGCTGGTGAAGTCGTCCCATTCATGAGTCCAGTGTGCTTAAAGCAATTCGCAATGGTGGTGCTCGAAATCTAGCTCCACGCCATAAGTGATAACGCATGGCTGTGACTTGATCAACCTTGTAGAGATCGGCCTCTCGCGCATCATCGCGATCCAAAGTGTTCTGTAGGTGCAGACGCCGGTAGTGGCGCTTGAATGCAGCGATGATACCGGCGTCCACTGGCTGCAACTTGGTTGTGGTATTGGGCGGCAGAGCCTGAACGGTGACGTTGGTGAGCACAAGATCCAAAGTTACGTGCAAAAGTGCATTGTCCATGTGCAGAAGGACTTTTTTAACCTGGCGCTAGAATCTGGGTAAGTGCTTTGTTTGGCAGCTGATATCTCAAAATGGTCAGATGTTCAATTACCTTCAGGTCTCTGTGCAGGTTTCCAAGCCATTTCTGGAAAATACCCCAGTCATCCAGGCTTTCTTGTTGTAGCAAAAAAGAAACCCAGGCTCTTCTCCTGACTTCCGCTGGAAGCAACGAGGCTTTTTTGCACGGCCGATGAAGAATGGAGGGAGCTTATCAGATCCATCAGCATTTGCCGTCAGAGCCACTGTGATGCGATTCTGACAAACACGTCAATTATTCCATTAATCCCACGGATTCCAACAAGAAAAATGCAACTCACCTTGTCTTTTTTGAAGCCTTCAGCTTCCTTCTGGGCAATGTTTTTATCCGGTGTCATGCTGCAAAATAATCCTGGAGATCATCTTGGCATTTACGACACAGAGCATCAAAGACTTCAGGAGAACTTGCCAGTTTTGTCCATGTTGTACACATCACAGGGAGCAAACTTGGTGACGGCTGCTTGCAACTCTGGTAGAGCTGCTTCAATTCCAGCCACATCGGCTGAACCGCTCTCGCCATGGATACGGACGGCCCTGAGCTTGTGACGCTGCTGGAATTCTTAAAACCACCCATGGGAAAACTTGTTAGATCCATCCGGAATATCCATGGACGTTGCAAAGCTTGCAGCTTTGGCACGGATCAGGTCTCCGGTGAGGGCAACTCCACGATGCTGGCACTGCAAAATCCAGAGGGCCACTGCTTCTTCCAAGGCAGGATGTTTAACTGAGCGGGGACGCGTAGCAGGGAGCTCTGATGGACTCATTGCTTCAAGCTCCTTCCTCTTGCTGATGATCTTGCTGATTGAGGCCTGCGTCATAGGTTTAGGGGGGACGAATGCCTCCTTCGTCCAGTTTCCAAGCTCTGTCTGGGTGAGGCTCGGATAATCATCATTATGCCTGATGATCCTCAGCTTCTGGTCGTTGGTGAGACGTAGTTGAGACATCTCTGATGTGTGGGTGGGTAAGTGGGTGGGAGGGTGGGTGGGTAAGTGTGGTGTTCTGGGTTTTTGAGGGAAGTTGTTGGTTTGAGAGAGGAATGGAAGTTGACAGGAAACGAGAGAGGGAAGGTGAGGTGTGGATTTAGGAATGTAGGGATGTTTGTTTGGTCGGGGGAGAAAAAAGGGTGCCTATGTCCCGACCCCCGGTGGCCAGCCCGCCAGGCGAGCTGCAAAAGTTTGCGCAATCGCGCAATAAATGTAAACAAGGTACAGTACTTTAACTGTGCACGAAGGTACTTAAACTGTGTTTGGTTCAGTTTCTCAGTTGAGTAGAATAGAAACAATTGATTATGTAAAATTTAAGGTGTTCAAGTAGAATTCGATGCACTCACAAAGACAATGCATTGTACGCACGAGGACTTCATAATTTCCAAAGGCGGTGCCCAGACGCGTCCCCCACCAAAAGAGTAAAGGAAATGTCTTGTGGTCCGCTTTTTTGATCAATAAAAGACAATCGTGATACTAATAATAATAGTGATGCACAGTTTGTACTGTATTTGTAACGGGGTGAATCGTTACATAACAATTTATAAGAAATTGTTAATAGAATATAACTATAAGAGTTATATTCTCAGAATATTGTCATAAGGACAAATATTCTGTAGCACTTACAAAGTAGTTCCTAATTGGTTGATATAGGCCATTATATCAACCATCGAAGACGCGCCACGACAGACGCACGCAATGAGTGGTGAGCAGCTAATTGATGTGCACATTTGTATTTAGACATAGTTAGATGAAGATAAATAGTGATTTATTGCAGACATTAACTATTATAAATACAGTTCTACTTTTTACTCTAACCAAGTACTCGCTTCTTCTTACCGTCTTCCTCTGCACGTACGAGTGTACGTGAAGTTACGAGGCACCGCCTTATTCTGTTATCAGAATAAGTAGCTTGTACTGTCACCAGTACAAGCTTCAGGGTGCCCCGTTACACCTGGTAGCACTTTGTAGTCCGTCCAAGGACCGCGTTCACATCTAACATGAATATGTCAGATGATGAAGATGACCAAAGCTTTCACGCTACGCGTGACGGCTACTCCCATTTGAGCGATGTCGAATGGGATGCGGTCGAACGAATGGGTTCGACCATGGGCATCCATGCTGTTAGCGTCATGCTAGAGGCTCTCAATAGAGATGCCCAACATGCTACTATCGCCAAGTTCATTCAAAATGAACTTGACGCAGAACGCGAGAAAGTAGCCTTGCTTCACCAACAAGGTTCTCAACAAGCAGAGTTGTTGAGAGAACAAGGTGCTCAACAGTTTGAATTGTTGAGACAGCAGCAGGCTGCTGCTGGTGGGTCGATGCATTCGCGTCGACCCGAGACATTGAACATTGACATCTCCAAGTATAGGGGGGTCGAAGAAGACTCCCTCTTGAAATGGTTCGTCGAATTGGATGACGCCATAAGGGCGCGTCGCATCGACGACGGGGAAATGCAAGTTGCATTTGCCCAGTCAAATCTGGCAGGACGTGCCAAGACTTGGGCACTGGGGCTCAAGTTGCACGACCCATATGCGTTTGGGTCGTTGGAAGTCTTCAAGTCGCGGCTCAGACAAACGTTTGAACCGCCTAGAGCTGAGTTCAGGGCTCGAACCGAACTCTTGAAGCTCAAACAGGGTAAGCGTGATGTGCACGCTTACGCCCAACATATACGACATCTTACGAGTTGTATAAGTTCCAATCCGGTGGATGAACACACGTTGGTTTCGGTGTTCATGCAGGGTCTTGCGGATGGTCCCGTCAAGACTCACTTGTTCCGGCTTGAACTAGATTCACTAGAACAAGCCATTTCCATTGCGGAGCAGGAAGACTTCAGTCTGAGACAGGCTCGCGCCAGCTCGACATCATATCGTCAACCGAGACGATATGACAGCGGAGGTCCAGAGCCGATGGAACTCTGTTATGTAGAGAGCGAGAAGGCTCGCTCTACAGACTACAAGAAGCTGCAGAGATGCAACAGATGTCAAAAGACAGGACACTACGCTTACGAGTGTAGTGCCCCTCGTCCAGTGTCTCGCGACACTGGGCGTAGTGACCGTCCACCCATGAGAAAGGGGCAGGGACGAGGGTCCGCAGTTGGTCCAAAGACGCAACAACGGGATGGACCGTCAAAAAACGGACAGGATCAGTAGGTGCGGAGCACCCTACTGGTCTAGCAACGTCAAGAGAATTTGTAGGCCTCTTGATGAAGGTTGCTCCCAACACACAAACGTTGTGCGTTGCTGCTCTAGGTAATGAGGTCTCACTCATTACCTTGAAACTCGAAGTGACGAATAAGTTGTCCCTCCGAGCTCTAGTCGATTGTGGGGCGTCCAACAATTTTGTGCGACGCCAATCGCTAGAAGATGGTCATTTTAAGTTCAGTGAATGTGACACACCTCCTACGAAGATGACGGTACGTCTTGCGACAGGCGCATCCGTAACCGTCATGAAGCGTATAGTGAAGATCCACTATACGCTAGAAGATACCCAATATGATGATGACTATATCGTATTAAATTTGGATGACAAATTTGATGTCATCCTTGGAATACCGTGGCTCAGAAGGTACGAACCACGAGTAAACTGGCAACATCGAACAGTAACGATGCCTGCCGCTTGTTCATCAGATGGCCATCTGATGAACGTTTTGGAGCGTCCACAAGCGTGTGGATGTACTACGAGTGAGTGCGATGGCCTCACTTGTGGTACGGTCGTTAGTACGACTGCACAAAACCTTAGCGTACCAAACGGTTACACTTCGGAGCAAAGTTCCGGCGGCTGTGAGGAAACACAGGCTGCGCCGAAGGTCCACCACTCGAATAAGTCGAGTGGACTGGGACAAAGATGTATCCCTAGCGGGGAACATCTAGAAGAGAAACAATCGATCGCTCAGGTTAAGCGAAACGATAATCCTAGATCGACTGGAGAGTCTTTCGTAGAGGATCTCGCTGTGGTTGCGCAACCCCAGCTAGAGGAAGTAAAGGGAATAAGTCCCAAGATTACAAATACGGCGGAAATAAGTTCCCCAAAACCCGTGGGAATAAGTCCCCGGGAAGACGAAGGAATAAGTCCTTCGAAGCCTGAGGGAACAAGTCCCCAGGAAATGACAGAGACATTGAATGTCATAGTCAATAACGGATCAAGTGTAGGCGCTTATACACTTGATCTGATTGCGCCTCCGAAGTTGACTTCGGAGATTACTCAGTTGCCAACGCTCGAACATAAAAGGTTCTTGCGTGATGTGCGTAGTGGCAAAGTCAAGCAGATCTGCATACTCGTCGCTGACGACGAGTGTGTAACCGACATAAGGTCAGCAACAGTGTTTACTGAGAACGAGAGAGTTCTCAGTAGTTCATCTATGGACGAGAGTGTCCTAGATGAAAATACACGAATTGAGCGATATGACTCCCAATCATGGGAATCGCTCAAGAAAAATCCTCTCTATGAAGATTTGGTGGAATTCAAGGATGTATTCCCTGAAACTGTTCCGTGCGAATTACCGAAGGATAAAGGTATTCGACACGAAGTCGAGCTTAAACCAGGCTCGAAGTACTGTGTCATGAAGCAGTGGCCACTGCCTCGTGAACAAGTACTTGCGATCGACAAGTTCTTTGCCGATCGTTTAGCAGCGGGCCATGTGAGGGAATCAACTTCCCCACATAGCTCTCCGACCTTCTGTGTGCGAAAAGCAACAGGAGGGTGGCGGATAGTGCACGCGTTCAACAAATTGAACGCTGCAACGGTACCGGCTCAGACGCCGATACCGAGGAAGGACGTAATCATTGATGGTATGTCAAAGAGTACCATCTTTTCGTCCATGGATTTGATGGATGGCTTCTATCAAATCCTTATGCGGGAACGGGACATACCCTATACCGCAGTTAGCACGCCTAGCGGCATGCTCTGGGAATGGCTAGTAATGCCACAAGGGCTTAGTAATGCCCCTGCCACGTTCAACAGATGTGTATCACATCTGTTTAGACCAGTACGAGAATTCGCGCCGAGTTATTTCGATGACGTATTCATCCATAGTCGAGCTATGGATGGAAAGTCGGACTTTGAGGTTCACAGGTACCACGTCCGACAGGTTCTTACAATCATGCGAAAGCATCAATTGTATGCTAACCTCAAGAAGTGTATATTTGCGGCAAGCGAAATACCACTTCTTGGATGCATCGTTGGTAAGAACGGTGTACGTCCTGATCCCGAAAAGATCAAGGCGATCACCGACTGGCCTGTGCCGGTTGATGTCAAAGGTCTTCGAAAATTCCTTGGGCTAGCGGCGTATTTGCACAAGTATTCACGCAATTACGCCGAGATGACTGTGCACCTCTCTCGTTTGTTGAAAAAGAACGAGAGGTGGATATGGAACGCTGAATGTCAGCGCTCCTTTGATGGTATCAATCAGAGCTTGATACAATCCCCAGTCCTAGCAATAGCCGATCAGGACAGGCCATTTCATGTGGTCTGTGATGCCAGCGATTTCGCAATCGGCTGTGCATTAATGCAGTACGATCTTGAATGCGTTGAACGCGTCGTCTGCTATCAGTCGCGTCAGCGGCAACCAGCTGAGCGGAACTATCCAGTGCATGACAAGGAACTCCTTGCCATGAAGTATGCACTCGCGAAGTTCAGAGTCTATCTATTAGGAGATAGACCCTTCATTGTTTACACTGACCATGCGTCATTACGCACGGCAGTGAACAGCCCGCACCTTTCATAACGAATGGCGCGGTGGTTTTTATTCTTTGCAGAATACAAATTTACGGTAGAGAACAAACCATGACGACTTAACGTCGTGACTGATGCACTCTCACGTCGTCCCGACTTTGAAACAGTCGTGAAACCCAACAGTGAGACAGCCACTGTTGCGTTTATGACGTCCTCAATACCGTCTTTAACGTTACATGATGATGTGAGGCGGGCATACGCCCAAGATGGTGAGATTGTGAAGTTGTTGACACATCTCTCCCAACCATCCCGAGAATCGTTGAAACGATTGTCGTCTGCGTATCGATCTGCATCAGATCGATACACTACTCACAACGGGTTACTGTATTATACAGCCGTTTCTGGTGACACACCACGTGTTGTCATTCCAGATGATACTGATCTGCGTTTGCGGATCATGTTCGAGTATCACGATGCTCCTATAGGAGGACATTGTGAACGTGAGAAAACATATCTCACGGTAAGTCGAGACTTTTACTGGCCCCGCCAGTATCAGTTTGTGCGCAAGTACGTCCGCGCATGCGAAGTCTGTCAACGAGTGAAGTCAAGTCCTTCACTGCGTGCACCTTTACAGCCTCTACCGGTTCCGGCTGAGTGCTGGGAATCCATCTCAATGGATTTCGTCTTCGGGTTACCCAAAGACGCACACGGGAATACGGGTATTCTCGTATTTGTTGACAGATTCAGCAAAATGGTACACCTTGTGGCTGTACCAGAGACAATCACGGCAAGTGGCTGTGCTTGTGTCTTTATTGACACCATCTTCCGACTTCATGGGTTGCCCCGTGAACTCGTATCAGACAGAGATCCACGCTTTACAGCTGATTTCTGGCGTTCCGTGTTCAAATCACTCGGAACGCGCTTGAAGATGTCAACATCTGATCATCCAGAGTCAGATGGTCAGACGGAACGTGCCAATCGTGTCCTTGAAGAAATACTTCGAGGATACGTACACTCCTTTAAGAGTTGGAGTGAGTTTTTGCCTATGGTAGAGTTTGCCATTAACAACTCGGTGCATGCGTCGAAGACACATACACCGTTTTACGTGAATGGCTTACGCCATCCGCGTGTACCCACCTTACTAGAGTGTAACTCTGGTTTAAGGGGGGGAGGGGGACTCGCGCGAGCAAAAACCATTTGGTTCACGCTCATCACGCTCTGACGAAGAAGTCATTGCGTTTGATGCCGATATCGATAACATCGATATCGAAGAAGATGATGCCAGTGAGAGTGCGGAAGCCCTCACTGAAGACAATGATCCCAGTGAGAGTGCGGAAGCCCTCACTGAAGAAAAGGTTGTTGCTGCTGCAGTGCGCTCACAGCACACTGAAGCTAACGAGTCATCAGATGAGTTCATACTGGCTCGTGAAACGGTAGTCCGTTTTGTGCAAGACTCCATCGCCGAAGCGGTGGATAAGCAAAAGCAAAACGCTGATAAGAATGGAAGGGCAAACACTCTTTTATTTAATAAAGGTGACTTAGTCCTACTGTCTACGGTTAATCTACCAAAGCATGTAGTGACTAACTTGGGTAGCAGTAAACTACTACCCAAGTACATCGGTCCATTTCGTGTATTGCATCGCCTAGGCAACGCATACACGATCGAGTTACCACGTAAGATGCGAACGCATCCCACGTTTTACGTTGGTCGGCTTAAGCCGTACCATCAGTACGCTGCTTCTTCCGATGAAGAACGCCCTTGCGCTCAAGCATCTCGCAGAGAGCCTTGTGCTCCCGATGGTGGGCATCAACAAGGGTCTGAAGAGCAGCTATCTCATCCCGAGACCGATCAACAATCCCACGAGGTACCCTTAGCTCTTCACGAAGAGATGTCAGAGATCTCTCGTTCTCGAGCTGAGCAAAGGCAAACTCAGCTCGATGCTTCGAGGCAGTGTCCGCCATTTGGAGACGCCTGTCCCGCTTATGTTCGAGATCGTCGCGTAACCCTTGCGTTACGCAATCAAAGAAGCTCTCGGGAACACATGGATCCACATGATCGTGTGGAGAGCGTCTTTCCTCCTCCTCCACCCCCATTAGAGGACTCTCGCGGTGGCCAGCGCTATCTGGTAGAGCGGCTGTTGAACCACCGCGACGTGAACGGACGTCGGACGAGTTATCTCGTCCGGTGGCGCGGCTATCCCCCGTCCTGGGATTCTTGGGAGCCCCGCTCCCAACTGATGATCGACGTACTGGGTCTGGTTGAGCAGTACGACGCGGCACATCCTGTGCCGCAGAAGGACCGCCGGAGAAAGTCTTCCCGGCACGGTCGTAAAGGGATTTCAGGTTGTCAATCCCTTCGTACATCTCAGTAGAGATACGGACGCGCCACCACGGGCTAGTAAGGAGGTAAGCCTCCTTAGGTGCTCGTGCAGAGTTGTTCACACAACATGGGCACGAGTCTCCCCAAGAGAGGCAGGGTAGTCCACCCTCCTTCGACAGACGATGCAGCTTGTAGCGTGCACCTGTCGGGGTTCGCTTTTCAAACTTATCACGAGCTTTGATAAGTTTGTCGTTCCAAAATGTCACGACCTACATCCTCAAAGGTTATGGATGTAAGCGTTCCACGCCTGAAGTAGTGAGGGACCATCACGTTTGTGATTCCCACTGTACCATCGATGTCTAAAGAAAGCATCGATGAAGAATTCATGTTCAGCGCGATAGTTTTTCGCGCTGGGGTCAAGGTGATGGATCCTTGACGAATCGAACAATCGTGTTCGATAACGATCACTCGTCGTCGCCGACAAGTGATCCATGACGGATTTTGGAGGCATCCATGCCTTCTTTTCTGGAGCAAGACGCAAGACATTGCGGTCCCGCTCTTCCTGCGACGTGCCGACAGAAGTACTGGCACCTCGTTGCGAAGTGGTGTCCATAGGATAGCCGACACCACTGTGAGTGCCCGAGTCTTGCGACCTCGAGCGCCTTCGCTTCGGCGATGGTTCATCTGATTCATCAGATGAGCCAAAGATGCTACGACGCAAAGCATCATCCATGCCACGCTTGGCAGGCGGCTTAGATTCAATCGCCGTCGATACGGATCCGTCATCCGTATCAGGAGAGTATGAGACACCGAGCTCGTACTCTGTGAAGACACGAGTGTCTTCATGACCAGCGCCTGCATCACCAAGTGACACAGGCTGGGTCTCTTCAGCAACCGATGAGACATCAGTTGCTGTTGTTTCTGCCTCGGCGTCCGCACAGAGACGTGCGGACGCGCTCTCGGCGGCCTTGCTCGCGCATCGCATGGGCTTGTTTACCATGCGATGAGATGTTGGAAAGTGGACTCGGACCAACAAGTGCAAACCCTGTCCCAAATGATTTGGGACGAGTATCCATTTAGTCAATCAGTCACTAAAGTGACTGATGGTTAAGGGGAGGGGGTGATGTAACGGGGTGAACCGTTACATAACAGTTTATAAGAAATTGTTAATAGAATATAACTATAAGAGTTATATTCTCAGAATATTGTCATAAGGACAAATATTCTGTAGCACTTACGAATAGTTCCTAATTGGTTGATATAGGCCATTATATCAACCAACGAAGACGCGCCACGACAGACGCACGCAATGAGTGGTGAGCAGATAACTGATGTGCACATTTGTATTTAGACATAGTTAGATGAAGATAAATAGTGATTCATTGCAGACATTAACTATACTAAATACAGTTCTACTTCTTACTCTAACCAAGTACTCGCTTCTTCTTACCGTCTTCCTCTGCACGTACGAGTGTACGTGAAGTTACGAGGCACCGCCTTATTCTGTCATCAGAATAAGTAGCTTGTACTGTCACCAGTACAAGCTTCAGGGTGCCCCGTTACAGTTATCGTTTCTTGCTACGATGATGGACTAGTTGTTCTTGTTCTCCATCACTCCTATCCAATCAATCAACCATCCACTATGATGTCCACTCAATCACTAATCTTCCTACATCTCTCCAAGTCGTCAGCCGTTACTTCAACCGTTGCTACAACCTTTACCTCAACCGTTACGGGTAACCATGCCGTTTTCTAACACCTCCGTCAACTTTGAAAGAGCTTGGTGGAATTTGACATGACATATATCACGCAGTAGCTCCTTTACGAACGCTAGTAGTCCGTCTATACTATCTTCTGCAAACCATGATCATTCGTGGCAATCATATACAATAGACATTCACACATCGCAATAATGATTCTCTGTCGCTATGGAGGGGATTGGTCCGTGCTTGCAATACAGACGCACTAACCTCCAATTGAGCTTTGCCGAGACGAAGCAAATTGTTTGCGCCTGGAGTTCAATACGTGGTCTCCACATTCACTCAAGCTAAGGATGGCAAATACCACACAAAAGCACACCAGCGATACGAGTTCATCCAAGCACAGTCTGGGTATGTTTTCACCCTCAGTAACGAGCTCAGGAAATACAAGCGCATCAATGTATTCACTACGTTTGCTGGTTGACGCGTGCCCGCACTTAAACTAAAGCGCTAGACACTGGAACCATTTCGTGGGTTTCTGTGAGTCCTTAAAGATACCGTCACCCGTCATGAATGCCGTGTCCGCGTGGTTCAGCTTTGATCGGTAGAATCGATTCAGGTAATGGTCCCCAAAGATGGCATCGTCGAGACCACCCAAACAGCTACGATACTCTACGAGGCCGTCGTTTTTGCTGGATTTGTGAGAGACGACCTTGGCTGCAATAACGGAGGGGGCTTGGTATTTCGAAAAGACGCCATAGTAGCTGTCGCTGCATATTGCAGCTGCCACATTGTCACGATAAGCTTTTTGCGCCGCTGCATACGCTTCGTTAATGGCTGGAGTGCTGTACTTCTCGCCTTGGTAGACTGTCGTCCCGCGGGAAGGCATCAGTGGACACTGGCCAAGCAATCCAAATAGTCCTTCAGCGATGGCATCTTTTTTCCCCCCGCAGACATCTAACATGTAATCCGAAGTCATGCTACCACCCATTGGTGGACTGAGCGATACCCACGACGTGTTCGGTGAGAATGAGCACTTTCCATTTGCCAATGCACTAGCCATCACGAGGCCGCCCATCGAATGGGTCACAATGATCGCGTTGTCAATAATCCCAGCAGCTACGTCACTCGAAGCGCTCAGGGAGAGCGAGAAGTTGCAGTATTTCTGTTGCAACATGTCGTCCCTCCATCCGACGTCGGCGGTGTTGATTACAGCATACTTGACTGAAGAGCAAAACGGGGCGTTGATATTGCCTATCCTATCACGGACCAAGTCCGGCGTGTTCTGCAATTCGGTTCTTTCGTGCGGGTTACCGAGACCATGAAATATGATGCAAGGGCGACGTTTTGACGTTTGTTGACACTCGGTCGCCTGCATGGCCATGTGAGACTCTGCCTTTAGACCTCTTGTCGTACTTGACATCAAATTACTCCCACGCATCAGAGATAAAGCGGTTGGTGTCATCAGTGTGGCTGGTGCGACAGGTTTGCATGAGCTTCTTCCATCGGATAGCTTTGGTTCTTGAATACGCTCCTGTCGGTCGAGATACTCGACAGCAATGTCCAAGTCACTGCTGAATGCCGTGAATCCGGCTTCGCCAGACACGCAGATGGCGTAGTGCACGCCAACGAACGACGTCTTGAACAAATTCCCTTCTGGACATTTGACTGCTTCCTCGCCAATGGATGCACTTGGAATTCGCGAAACGTCATTCAACGCGGGCAAAATCCTGTCAAACGGTAGTGCATTAGGCGAGAGACATCCAACCGTCTCGACACCGCTAGTGTCTTTGGTCGTTAGGTAAGCAGCGCCATTTGCAAGAGTGTACGTAATCTCCGACCCGTTGTCAAGAAACGTGGCATATCCGTCGTAGAGGACACTCGCACCATTTGCAGATATGACTGGAGTCGCGTAGACGTCAAAGGACAAGGTCCCGTGCAACCTCATCTTTTCACGTTTCATCATGACACGAAGTCGTACAGATGGTGCACCTGTCAGTACACTCGGTCTCTGCGAAGTCTCTGTAGAAGCTGCTAGCTGCAAGAGCCCTAACAAGGCAAAGACAAACGCAATGACGACTTGCATGGAATATCCGAGTGCAGTTTCTCGTCCAGCAGGAAGTTTGTAAATGACACTTCATTAGCAAACGAAAGGTAGCAAGTCTGAACGAGCACAACTCAACGACCGGCTTTGTGTCTCATCGGAGTTGTTCCAGTCAAGAGCCCATCGGGTGTACGACTTTCTACTGTGCGAGATAGACGCTGCAATCGCGCAAGGCCGATACCGCCAATGGACAATTCGTGTCCGGAGACTTTCGGCGTCTACCTAACTGGTGCTTTCAATGACAAATTCCTGAAAACATCGGTTTGCACAAACCGAGGTGGTACTTCTTCTAGATGAGGTAGCTAGTGTTGCCCGAATGCATGAATCGTAGGGGCGAAACGTGGATAGGTGTCGTTTCAAGTACACTACTCACGAGTAAGTAATGAACCGCACGTTCCATTACAAGGCTGCGACAGATATCCCAGCCACACATGCACTCGTTCGCATGCGGGCTTCAGCCCGTCAAGATCCGGCTATCCTATCCTATACATTATTAGAGTATCGTGTGGTCGACTGTTTGTCAAGCTTGTACTTGACCTTCTGCTCGTCGTATGATTGCCATTACATGCGTCAAGTTCAAAAAATAGGCGTCGCCTTGTTGAAAGATTGAAAAAACACGAAGATGCGATCCTACCCTGGACTGCCGTCATTATCTTGAGTATAGACGGTGACCCAGCTGCTGACTTCTGCTGTAACGGGGTTCACCATTACATAACAATTTATAAGAAATTGTTAATAGAATATAACTATAAGAGTTATATTCTCAGAATATTGTCATAAGGACAAATATTCTGTAGCACTTACGAATAGTTCCTAATTGGTTGATATAGGCCATTATATCAACCAACGAAGACGCGCCACGACAGACGCACGCAATGAGTGGTGAGCAGATAATTGATTTACACATTTGTATTTAGACATAGTTAGATGAAGATAAATAGTGATTCATTGCAGACATTAACTATACTAAATACAGTTCTACTTCTTACTTTAACCAAGTACTCGCTTCTTCTTACCGTCTTTCTCTGCACGTACGAGTGTACGTGAAGTTCCGAGGCACCGCCTTATTCTGTCATCAGAATAAGTAGCTTGTACTGTTACCAGTACAAGCTTCAGGGTGCCCCGTTACACCTGGTAGCACTTCGTAGTCCGTCCAAGGACCACGTTCACATCTAACATGAATATGTCAGATGATGAAGATGACCAAAGCTTTCACGCTACGCGTGACGGCTACTCCCATTTGAGCGATGTCGAATGGGATGCGGTTGAACGGATGGGCTCAACCATGGGCATCCATGCTGTTAACGTCATGCTAGAGGCTCTCAACAGAGATGCCCAACATGCTACTATCGCCAAGTCCATTCAAAATGAACTTGACGCAGAACGCGAGAAAGTAGCCTTGCTTCACCAACAAGGTTCTCAACAAGCACAGTTGTTGAGAGAACAGGGTGCTCAACAGTTTGAACTGTTGAGACAGCAGCAGGCTGCTGCTGGTGGGTCGATGCATTCGCGTCGACCCGAGACATTGAACATTGACATCTCCAAGCATAGGGGAGTCGAAGAGGACTCCCTCTTGAGATGGTTCGTCAAATTAGACGACGCCATAAGGGCGCGTCGCATCGACGACGGGGATATGCAAGTTGCATTTTCCCAATCAAATCTGGCAGGACGTGCCAAGACTTAGGCTTTGGGGCTCAAGTTGCACGACCCATATGCGTTTGGGTCGTTGGAAGTCTTCAAGTCGCGGCTCAGACAAACGTTTGAACCGCCTAGGACTGAGTTCAGAGCTCGGACTGAACTCTTGAAGCTCAAACAAGGTAAGCGTGATGTGCACGCTTACGCGCAACGTATACGACATCTCACGAGTTGTATAAGTTCCAACCCAGCTGATGAACACACGTTGGTTTTGGTGTTCATACAGGGTCTTGCGGATGGTCCCGTCAAGACTCACCTGTTCCGACTTGAACTGGATTCACTAGAACAAGCCATTTCCACTGCGAAACAGGAAGACTTCAGTCTGAGACAGGCTCGCGCCAGCTCGACATCATATCGTCCACCGAGACGATATGACAGCGGAGGTCCAGAGCCGATGGAACTCTATTATGTAGAAAGCGAGAAGGCTCGCTCTACAGACTACAAGAAGTTGCAGAGATGCAACAGATGTCAAAAGACAGGACACTACGCTTACGAGTGTAGTGCCCTTCTTCCAGTGTCTCGCAACACTGGGCGTAATGACCGTCCACTTATGAGAAAGAGGCAGGGACGAGGGTCCGGAGTTGGTGCAAAGACGCAACAACGGGATGGACCGTCAAAAAAAACGGACAGGATCAGTAGGTGCGGAGCACCCTACTGGTCTAGCAACGTCAAGAGAATTTGTAGGCCTCTTGATGAAGGTTGCTCCCAACACACAAACGTTGTGCGTTGCTGCTCTAGGTAATGAGGTCTCACTCATTACCTTGAAACTCGAAGTGACGAATAAGTTGTCCCTCCGAGCTCTAGTCGATTGTGGGGCGTCCAACAATTTTGTGCGACGCCAATCGCTAGAAGATGGTCATTTTAAGTTCAGTGAATGTGACACACCTCCTACGAAGATGACGGTACGTATTGCGACAGGCGCATCCGTAACCGTCATGAAGCGTATAGTGAAGATCCACTATACGCTAGAAGATACCCAATATGATGATGACTATATCGTATTAAATTTGGATGACAAATTTGATGTCATCCTTGGAATACCGTGGCTCAGAAGGTACGAACCACGAGTAAACTGGCAACATCGAACAGTAACGATGCCTGCCGCTTGTTCATCAGATGGCCATCTGATGAACGTTTTGGAGCGTCCACAAGCGTGTGGATGTACTACGAGTGAGTGCGATGGCCTCACTTGTGGTACGGTCGTTAGTACGACTGCGCAAAACCTTAGTGTAACAAACGGTTGCACTTCGGAGCAAAGTTCCGGCGGATGTGAGGAAACACAGGCTGCGCCGAAGGTCCACCACTCGAATAAGTCGAGTGGACTGGGACAAAGATGTATCCCTAGCGGGGAACATCTAGAAGAGAAACAATCGATCGCTCAGGTTAAGCGAAACGATAATCCTAGATCGACTGGAGAGTCTTTCGTAGAGGATCTCGCTGTGGTTGCGCAACCCCAGCTAGAGGAAGTAAAGGGAATAAGTCCCAAGATTACAAATACGGCGGAAATAAGTTCCCCAAAACCCGCGGGAATAAGTCCCCGGGAAGCCGAAGGAATAAGTCCTTCGAAGCCTGAGGGAATAAGTCCCCAGGAAATGACAGAGACCTTGAATGTCATAGTCAATGATGGATCAAGTGTAGGCGCTTACACACTTGATCTGATTGCGCCTCCGGAGTTGACTTCGGAGATTACTCAGTTGCCAACGCTCGAACATAAAAGGTTCTTGCGTGATGTGCGTAGTGGCAAAGTCAAGCAGATCTGCGTACTCGTCGCTGACGACGAGTGCGTAGCCGACTTAAGGTCAGCAACATGTTTACAGAGAACGAGAGAGTTCTCAGTAGTTCATCTATGACGAGAGTGTCCTAGATGAAAAGACACGAGTTGAGCGACATAACTCCCAATCGTGGAAATCGCTCAAGACAAATCCTCTCTATGAAGATTTGGTTGAATTCAAGGATGTATTCCCTGAAACTGTTCCGTGCGAATTACCGAAGGATAAAGGTATTCGACACGAGGTCGAGCTCAAACCAGGATCGAAGTACTGTGTCATGAAGCAGTGGCCACTGCCTCGTGAACAAGTACTTGCGATCGACAAGTTCTTTGCCGATCGTTTAGCTGCGGGCCATGTGAGGGAATCAACTTCCCCACATAGCTCTCCGACCTTCTGTGTGCGAAAAGCAACAGGAGGGTGGCGGATAGTGCACGCGTTCAACAAATTGAACGCTGCAACGGTACCGGCTCAGACGCCGATACCGAGGAAGGACGTAATCATTGATGGTATGTCAAAGAGTACCATCTTTTCGTCCATGGATTTGATGGATGGATTCTATCAAATCCTTATGCGGGAACGGGACATACCCTATACCGCAGTGAGCACGCCTAGCGGCATGCTCTGGGAATGGCTAGTTATGCCACAAGGGCTCAGTAATGCCCCTGCCACGTTCAACAGATGTGTATCACATCTGTTGAGACCAGTACGAGAATTCGTACCGTGTTATTTCGATGACGTATTCATTCATAGTCGGGCTGTGGATGGAAAGTCGGACGTTGAGGTTCACAGGTACCACGTCCGACAGGTTCTTACAATCATGCGAGAGCATCAATTGTATGCCAATCTCAAGAAGTGTTTATTTGCAGCAAGCAAAATACCACTTCTTGGGTGCATCGTTGGTAAGAACGGTGTACGTCCTGATCCCGAAAAGATCAAGGCGATCACCGACTGGCCTGTGCCGGTTGATGTCAAAGGTCTTCGAAAATTCCTTGGGCTAGCGGCGTATTTGCACAAGTATTCACGCAATTACGCCGAGATGACTGTGCACCTCTCTCGTTTGTTGAAAAAGAACGAGAGGTGGATATGGAACGCTGAATGTCAGCGCTCCTTTGAGGGTATCAAGCAGAGCTTGATACATTTCCCAGTCCTAGCAATAGCCGATAAGGACAGGCCATTTCATGTGGTCTGTGATGCCAGCGATTTCGCAATCGGCTGTGCATTAATGCAGTACGATCTTGAAGGCGTTGAACGCGTCGTCTGCTATCAGTCGCGTCAGCGGCAACCAGCTGAGCGGAACTATCCAGTGCATGACAAGGAACTCCTTGCCATGAAGTATGCACTCGCGAAGTTCAGAGTCTATCTATTAGGAGATAGACCCTTCATTGTTTACACTGACCATGCGTCATTACGCACGGCAGTGAACAGCCCGCACCTTTCATAACGAATGGCGCGGTGGTTTTTATTCTTTGCAGAATACAAATTTACGGTAGAGAACAAACCATGACGACTTAACGTCGTGACTGATGCACTCTCACGTCGTCCCGACTTTGAAACAGTCGTGAAACCCAACAGTGAGACAGCCACTGTTGCGTTTATGACGTCCTCAATACCGTCTTTAACGTTACATGATGATGTGAGGCGGGCATACGCCCAAGATGGTGAGATTGTGAAGTTGTTGACACATCTCTCCCAACCATCCCGAGAATCGTTGAAACGATTGTCGTCTGCGTATCGATCTGCATCAGATCGATACACTACTCACAACGGGTTACTGTATTATACAGCCGTTTCTGGTGACACACCACGTGTTGTCATTCCAGATAATACTGATCTGCGTTTGCGGATCATGTTCGAGTATCACGATGCTCCTATAGGAGGACATTGTGAACGTGAGAAAACATATCTCACGGTAAGTCGAGACTTTTACTGGCCCCGCCAGTATCAGTTTGTGCGCAAGTACGTCCGCGCATGTGAAGTCTGTCAACGAGTGAAGTCAAGTCCTTCACTGCGTGCACCATTACAGTCTCTACCGGTTCCGGCTGAGTGCTGGGAATCCAACTCAATGGATTTCGTCTTTGGGTTACCCAAAGACGCACACGGGAATACGGGTATTCTCGTATTTGTTGACAGATTCAGCAAAATGGTACACCTTGTGGCTGTACCAGAGACAATCACGGCAAGTGGCTGTGCTTGTGTCTTTATGGACACCATCTTCCAACTTCATGGGTTGCCCCGTGAACTCGTATCAGACAGAGATCCACGCTTTACAGCTGATTTCTGGCGCTCCGTGTTCAAATCACTCGGAACGCGCTCGAAGATGTCGACATCTGATCATCCAGAGTCAGATGGTCAGACGGAACGTGCCAATCGTGTCCTTGAAGAGATACTTCGAGGATACGTACACTCCTTTAAGAGTTGGAGTGAGTTTTTGCCAATGGTAGAGTTTGCCATTAACAACTCGGTGCATGCGTCCACGATACATACACCGTTTTACGTGAATGGCTTGCACCATCCGCGTGTACCCACCTTACTAGAGTGTAACTCTGGTTTAAGGGGGGGGGGACTCGCGCGAGCAAAAACCGGATTGGTTCACGCTCATCACGCTCTGACAAAGAAGTCATTGCGTTTGATGCCGATATCGACAGCATCGATATCGAAGAAGATGATGCAAGTGAGAGCGCGGAAGCCCTCACTGAAGAAAAGGTTGATGTTGCTGCAGTGCGCTCACAGCACACTGAAGCTAACGAGTCATCAGATGAGTTCATACTGGCTCGTGAAACGGTAGTCCGTTTTGTGCAAGACTCCATCGCCGAAGCGGTGGATAAGCAAAAGCAAAACGCTGATAAGAATGGAAGGGCAAACACTCTTTTATTTAATAAAGGTGACTTAGTCCTACTGTCTACGGTTAATCTACCAAAGCATGTAGTGACTAACTTGGGTAGCAGTAAACTACTACCCAAGTACATCGGTCCATTTCGTGTATTGCATCGCCTAGGCAACGCATACACGATCGAACTGCCACGTAAGATGCGAACGCATCCCACGTTTTACGTTGGTCGGCTTAAGCCTTATCATAAGTACGCTGCTTCTTCCGATGAAGAACGCCCTTGCGCTCAAGCATCTCGCAGAGAGCCTTGTGCTCCCGATGGTGGGCATCAACAAGGGTCTGAAGAGCAGCTATCTCATCCCGAGACCGATCAGCAATCCCACGAGGTACCCTTAGCTCGTCACGAAGAGATGTCAGAGATCTCTCGTTCTCAAGCTGAGCAAAGGCAAACTCAGCTCGATGCTTCGAGGCAGTGTCCGCCATTTGGAGACGCCTGTCCCGCTTATGTTCGAGATCGTCGCGTAACCCTTGCGTTACGCAATCAAAGAGGCTCTCGGGAACACATGGATCCCCATGATCGTGTGGAGAGCGTCTTTCCTCCTCCTCCACCCCCATTAGAGGACTCTCGCGGTGGCCAGCGCTATCTGGTAGAGCGGCTGTTGAACCACCGCGACGTGAACGGACGTCGGACGAGTTATCTCGTCCGGTGGCGCGGCTATCCCCCGTCCTGGGATTCTTGGGAGCCCCGCTCCCAACTGATGATCGACGTACTGGGTCTGGTTGAGCAGTACGACGCGGCACATCCTGTGCCGCAGAAGGACCGCCGGAGAAAGTCTTCCCGGCACGGTCGTAAAGGGATTTCAGGTTGTCAATCCCTTCGTACATCTCAGTAGAGACACGTACGCGCCACCACGGGCTAGTAAGGAGGTAAGCCTCCTTAGGTGCTCGTGCAGAGTTGTTCACACAACATGGGCACGAGTCTCCCCAAGAGAGGCAGGGTAATCCTTTCTCCCTTGACAGACGATGCAGCTTGTAGCGTGCACCTGTCGGGGTTCGCTTTTCAAACTTATCACGAGCTTTGATAAGTTTGTCGTTCCAAAACGTCACGACCTACATCCTCAAAGGTTATGGATGTAAGCGTTCCACGCCTGAAGTAGTGAGGGACCATCACGTTTGTGATTCCCACTGTACCATCGATGTCTAAAGAAAGCATCGATGAAGAATTCATGTTCAGCGCGATAGTTTTTCGCGCTGGGGTCAAGGTGATGGATCCTTGACGAATCGAACAATCGTGTTCGATAACGATCACTCGTCGTCGCCGACAAGTGATCCATGACGGATTTAGGAGGCATCCATGCCTTCTTTTCTGGAGCAAGACGCAAGACATTGCGGTCCCGCTCTTCCTGCGACGTGCCGACAGAAGGACTGGTACCTCGTTGCGAAGTGGTGTCAATAGGATATCCGACACCACTGTGAGTGCCCGAGTCTTGCGACCTCGAGCGCCTTCGCTTCGGCGATGGTCCATCTGATTCATCAGATGAGCCAAAGATGCTACGACGCATAGCATCATCCATGCCACGCTTGGCAGGCGGCTTGGTTTCGATCGCCGTCGATACAGATCCATCTTCCGTATCGGGAGAGCATGAGACACCGAGCTCATACTCTGTGAAGACATGAGTGTCTTCATGACGAGCGCCTGCATCACCAGGTGACACAGGCTGAGTCGCTTCAGCAACCGATGAGACATCGGTTGCTGTGGTTTCTGCTTCGGCTTCCGCACAGAGACGTGCGGACGCGATCTCTGCGGCCTTGCTCGCGCACCGCATGGGCTTGTTAACCATGCGATGAACTGTTGGAAAGTGGACTCGGACCAGCAAGTGCAAACCCTGTCCCAAATGATTTGGGACGAGTATCCATTTAGTCAATCAGTCACTAAAGTGACTGATGGTTAAAGGGAGGGGGTGATGTAACGAGGTGAACCGTTACATAACAGTTTATAAGAAATTGTTAATAGAATATAACTATAAGAGTTATATTCTCAGAATATTGTCATAAGGACAAATATTCTGTAGCACTTACGAGTAGTTCCTAATTGGTTGATATAGGCCATTATATCAACCAACGAAGACGCGCCACGACAGACGCACGCAATGAGTGGTGAGCAGCTAATTGATGTGCACATTTGTATTTAGACATAGTTAGATGAGGATGAACAGTGGTTTATTAACATACGTTAACTATGATAAATGCAGTTCTACTTTTTACTCTAACCAAGTACTCGCTTCTTCTTACCGTCTTCCTCTGCACGTACCAGTGTACGTGAAGTTCCAAGGCACCGCCTTATTCTGTAGTCAGAATAAGTAGCTTGTACTGTCATCAGTACAAGCTTCAGGGTGCCCCGTTACAGATGAGACACACGCACGCGCCGCCAGCACTCGATCACAAACAAAACCGGGACGCATCATCGTCGACATTAAACATCCGCGATTGTACGTAGAATTTAACGTACTTGTAAAAGAGACGTATAATAAAACGTTACCCAGCCGCGTGCTGGTAAGGTATCGAACGATATCGCGATCGAATATCGAGTGCTACAGCTGTGATAGAAGCTGATTTGTTGCAGCAACCAGTTCATGATTTGGGGTAGAATAACAGCTTGCAGGCCTTTATAGATAGAAGCCGGTGTCGGCTAAGCGTAATTAGCACCAAAAACCCGACAATGGTCGTTGTGACCGTAGAAGCTATATCTCCTCCTTCGGCCACGCAGCTGGCAAGTGAAGAATTATCGGCATGTATACCTAACGGGAGTAGTGGCTTTCGCCAATGCGAAGGATATGTATCGTATTTTTACAAAGTAGATGTAACCATTTTACAAGTAAAAATACTCTCAAGTGTGGAAATCGCGTAGAAGAAACAGGAAATTAGCACGATCTTTCAATACGTAATACAAGCATAATTACTTCTGATACGCTAATCTCGTTTTGCATTTCACGCTGTCTCCCAGGCCTTAAACCTCGATATTGTCTCCAGCTATCTACCAACTAATCATTGTGAGCAAATGCCTATTTGACATGCGTGCTTGATCCTTCCCATCATTTTCCCAGTTTCGTGCATACATTCTACAGTACATTCTGCTCTATCGCGACATGCTCGGTACTCCCATGTCGCCAGTGATACACAATTCAACGAGAACAGGCGGCAATCTCTATATAGAAGATCACATGCAACGTTCCCATCATAATTGTGTCATTGAACATGGCCTATGTATCTCACAGTTCTTTTGTGCCATCTCACATATCATCTCGAAACTAAAGTTGCTACCAGCTCAGCGTGCATGACAACAATCACCCAAAGTCCAGCGAATGCCGCCCCGTACTGACGCCTGGATCCTGTAAAGAACAAAAATACTTGTTTGCTTCTTGTAGAAACTATTTGAACAAATCTCATTCCAAAGTTGTTCGATGATAAAGACAAATCTTCGAACCGACGAAGCGTATCATGGTACTGTACCCAACCATCCCTTTGACGGAGGGTTCAGATCTGCATTTAAAGTTTACTCCATCAGCTTTTCATAGTACGCGTCGGACCTAAAATTGTTGACAAATACCGTTTGCACAACTTGTTGGAGAGCTGCTAACGAATTTATTAATCACGCCTTAACAATGCGAACCATCTTTTGGCCAAGCTTACTTTGTTTCGAGTGGATGATGTAGCAAACATGTTAGCCTCGCAGAAGGCGAACTGACCCTTGTGGTGCTTACGATATGGTTGAACACCTCAATTCTTCAATCAGCTAATGATGTAAAAGCTACACCATTGCAGTTGCGTGTGCTATTGTTTCTTCATCGTGGGAACATATACTGTCAAGTCTCATCAATCCAGTTATGAGAATGCTTGCGTGAAGGTTCAACCCAAGAATGGGCGAGTGATCTCATTCTAGCATAATCGCTCTGTATTATGTGCCTCACGGGGCCTTTTCCATGGCCTTGACAGATCCTATTCGGGCATCGCGTTATCAAGGTGTACTGGTGCCGTGGGTTTGGCAATCAAGTGGCATATCGAATTGTGATGGACAAATTTGGCACCGATTGTTTCCGCACGCCATCGTCCTATGCTTGAAAGACGTCAATACTGGCCCTTGTGCTAAAATAGCTCTAGGTAAACTACAGCGTATAGCTTTTTCGTTGTTGCAAGTGGGTCGACAAACAGCCTACCAATCGCTGAATCATCATGACACACACTTTGCTCCATAGTCAAACATCTCAGGCGGTCGTTTTCCAGCTTGTTAGACTACATCTGACGGGCCCAATCGTTTCTTTACCCCATACTGCACAAGCCTTGGCGAGCCCAACTCCATTCTGCTGCTCTCACCGTTGCTCGCCTTTGTATATGCACCTCCTGTTCGTTCATAGTAGTCGATGAGAAGAAGTCTGCAGCGCTGGGGTAAAAGGATTCTGTCATTGTGTTTGGTGTTATCGTTTCTTGCTACGATGATGGACTAGTTGTTCTTGTTCTCCATCACTCCTATCCAATCAATCAACCATCCACTATGATGTCCACTCAATCACTAATCTTCCTACATCTCTCCAAGTCGTCAGCCGTTACTTCAACCGTTGCTACAACCTTTACCTCAGCCGTTACGGGTAACAATGCCGTCTTCTAACACTCCTCCTCGGCTACGACTTACCGTTTAAACCGAGGTGCACCAAAGCGCGCATCGTCGCCAGCTTGTGTGGGTCAAGTGCCTTCGTGAGCAGATCAGCGAGCATTAGCTCCGATCTCACATACTGCGCACGCACGATCCCGCGCCGAGCAAAGTCGCAGACAAACTTGACTCGCACGTCAATGTGCTTTGCCTTGAGTGACGACGCCTCACCCTCGAGCTGTCGAATTGCCGCTTGATTGTCGACGTGCATCAACATCGGTAACTCTGGCGCCATTCCAATCTCGATAAGCATCTCGCGCACGCCCAGCATCTCACGAGCGATCTCTGACGCCGCCACAAACTCGGCTTCCATTGTCGAGAGCGACACGCCACCTTGTTTCTTGGCGCTCCAGCTGATCGCCATGCCGTTGAGGAGGATGATGCCTCCGGTCAACGACTTCCTGTCGCTCTTATCTGCGGCAAAGTCGGCGTCGCTAAATGACTCGAGCTTGGTTGACGCGCACCTGACATCTCTTGGCTTCATGTTAATCTTCATCGTCTTCGTCCCCTTAAGGTGGCGAGCCACACGCTTCGCGAGCTTTCAATCGTGAAGCCGCGGTTGGTGCGTCTGTCGCGTCGTCTTGTAAAACGGCGAACGCAATGTCGGGCCTCGTACAGCGCGCGACCCAAAGTAGAGATCCGATGAGCGACTAGAAATCTCTAATTGTAGGTGCTCCATTTGTGCTCGTGGCCTCAAGTTGCACGCTGTCGATCGGCTGCACTTCATAGCGGTCGGCACCGATCGGCGCAAGTGTCGAGTTTGCGTTTGTGAGGCCATGTCCTTGCAGCAAGTCGCTGATCGCCTCCTCCTGATCCAGGTCGTAGCCGCCTTCGCCATCGAGCGCCACTCTTATACCGAGAAATTTACTCACACGGCCGAGGTCCTTAATTGACAGGCTCGCGAGACTGGCAAAAAACCGATCTACCGCAGCTGCTCCGAGGCCAGTTGCAAGCAGGTCGTCGACGTAGACGCCAACCACGACGGTATCCTTCCCGTCACGCTTCCAGTAGAGACACATGTCTGCAACACACTGTGTAAATCCTGCGCTGCATAGCTTCGCATGCAGGAGCTGGCTCCAGAGTCGTCCGGCTTGCTTGAGGCCGTATAAACTCTTTCGAAGCTCGAGTGCCAGCTCCTTCGTGCTTGCCGCACCTAGCTTCTTTTGTGTCGTGCCGTCGACTTCCATGGCTTGCGGTACCTGTAGCAGTATCTCGAGGTTAGGCTCCTTGTCCGCCTTCACATACGCATTCAGTATGTCACCGTGTTTAGCGGGTACGCCCCACGTCGCCGCCAGAGCCAAAAGCACCCTTACCGTAGACATGTCCATGACTGCCGCGAAGGTGAGCTGGTAGTCGATACCAAAGACCTGCTCGTTTCCACACGCGACAAGTCGAGCCATGAGTCGCTCGAGGTCGCCGTGCGCGTCGGTCTTCGTCTTGAATACCCACTTGGTGTGTAGTGTGTTGCTTCCGGATGGCCGCTTGATCAAGCGCCACACGCCGTTGTCTTCGAGCGCTTCGAGCTCTTCACGCATAGCTTACTCCCAGCCTTCGCGTTTGCTGCTGCGTATCGCTTCCCCATAATTGTTGGGGTCTCTCTCAAATACGTACGCCACCACACTTTCGTCTTGTGATGGCTCCTCCTGAACCCCAGATGCCTGCGAACGCTTCGCCGCGCTGCGCGTCCTGTGTGCTGCACGCGTCCATGACTTCGATTTTTTCTTTCCTCTGTGTATTTTCAATGTCGGAGCTGGGTCTGCCGACATCAGGGTCGCCGTCTCTGTTTCTGTTGATGTCGCACCTACTTGATCCTCGTAGCCAAGCGCCCTCTGTAACTGATTGTTCTGTGCCTTGCTGAGCGTCTCAATATCCTTCACGTGCTGCGTGACAGTAACCTTGTTTTCCTTCTGAAGGAACACTCTGTAGCCCTTGGTTTCATCGCTGCGTCCGATGATGATGCCGACTTGCGATCGCCTCGCCAGAGAGTTCTTGCGTGGATCGCGGTAGACAGAGCAAACAAAGCCAAATGCTACTATGTCTCGCAAGTCAGGCGCGTGCTTTGTCAGCACTTCCAATGGAGACGCTCGCTTCGCGTTCGCACTTGTCGGGCTGCGGTTGAGAATGTACGCCGCATATTCGACCGCATCACCCCAGAATGACACGGGAAGTCGACTCGCAAAGATCATCGACCGCGCCATGTTTAACACCGCTCGGTGCATGCGCTCAGCTTTGCCGTTCGATGCCTGGTTGCGTGCCTCGCTGACCTGTCTTGCGACACCAGTCGACTTACAGAAGAGGTCGACATTCGCGTACTCGGCACCACCGTCCGTCCTTAGCACGTGGATGCGGCACTCAAACTGGCGCTCGAAGAATGCGAAGAAGTGTTTGAACTTCTTCGCGGCCTTGTCCTTCGTTGGAGCGAGGAAGACGCGACAGTAATTGGACTTATGGTCCACAAAATTGACGAGGTACCGGTTTCCGAGCCGGTCCTTGGGGGTCATCGGACCCTTGAGATCGGAACAAATGACGCCACCAATGCGGTCAATAGGTGAGTAAGCACCCGTGTCCTTACGCGACTGTGCGTTCTTCGTCTGCTTGCCTTGGGCGCACGAAATGCACGTCGGCCTCGCACGATCTGTGAGTGTTATGCTGGACTCTGGATCGCTTGCCATGCGCTCGACCGTGTCGTATGCCAAGTGACCCAGACGCTGGTGAAAATTATAGAGCGAGCCAATCTGGACATCCATGGCTGGTACATCCATCGAATTTTGAGTTAGGATCGCCATCAGCACATCGTGTGGTGTCCCAGCGCGTGTCGGTGCCACTGTCTCAACGTATAGTACGTTGTTTTCCATTTTTATGTCGAACACGACTTCCCCATTGCTGCGTCTCGCAAGTGCGCGCTTCGTACCGTCGTAAACAAGTCCTAAACCCTTGCGCTCAAGCTTGCCGTACGACATGATATTTCTCGATAGATCCGGTGCGAGGTAGACCTCCGTCAGAGTCACATCTCGCTCATGTCCTTCTGCTTTCACAGTCAGTACAACGCTACCGACGCGCGACAGCTTGATAATCTCGCCGTCGGCTAGGTGGCACTCGTGCTCGCAGTCTCGCACGCCTTGTAGTAGAGACGCGTTGTTGACGAGTTGGCGACTGGATCCACTGTCTAGAATCCAGTCGTCGCTTTCTTCGTCACTGTCATTGCTAATTGCCAGTGTCAGATTACACTTGGCATGACGCTTGCCCTTCTTGCTGATGCCTTCGCCAATCGCAAGTACAATGTTGCCACCACTCTTACCGCGACGGCTGCTGTTCTTGTCGCTAGTCCTCCTGCTACGACAGTCGGCTTTAACATGTCCCATCTTGCCACATCCATAGCAGGTACGCGTTTCCTTTCGCGGTGTGGACTCATCCACGTGGGCGACAACCTCCTTTCCAAAGAAGCGTCCCGGTTGAGCTTCCATCTCGATTGCCTGCGCAAAATGTGCGAGATCTTCGGCGTGCACTAGGTAGTCGACACGATGCGTCTCGTACTTGGCCATCAGAATCATCGACAGCTCGGGCGATGCATACAGCACGATATTATCAAGTACCTGCTGCTCAGCGCCACCAGCCCGCATCGCTGACTGCAACTAGGTACAGGTAGTGCTCCGGCCACGAGCGCTTGCCTTCCTTCCTTGTCGTGAACAGCTTCATTGCTTGGGCTGCGGTTATTGTCGTCTGGAATGTATCAAGCATGCGCTGCATCACGTACTGGAGAGTCGGTAGCACGGCCCACCACGTGTCGACCTGCTTGCTGAAGTAGCACTCTGCTGTGCCGGTCAGGTACTGGCCAAGAACATCAGTCTTGACGTTCTCGGTCCACAGGAATCCGCACGACTCCTGAGACATGTCAACTTGCCTCCAGAAAGTCTTGCCCCAGTCGAAGAAGCCGGACCCGAGTCCGACGTACACTTCGGTCGCATCGAACTTTCGTATAGCGAGCTTGCGCTGCCTTGCGTCGGGCGTCCGAAACTGAGTTGGCAAAGGCGATTGCATCGGCGCAGCTGGTGACTCCTGTCGATGTGGCATAGGCGAAGGCTGATACGCTGGTATCTGGACAGGCGGCTGCTGTGCGCGCTGCGCACGCTGACGATCGACACACAAGCGCGCTTGGTGGCTTGTCAAGTCTGAGCAGTCAAGCGCGTCACGGTGAAGCTTGCCCGCGAAGTCCGCGCCAAGCATTGAGGTAAACATTCCGCTGTCCACTGCTCCACGCATGCGCTCGTCTTGGTCAATCCTTGCCCGGGACAGCTTCATCTTCTTAACGCGCTCGTCCATGCCGTTTAGCAACTTGAGAACCTTCTCCAGCGCATCGTTGTCCGCGCTCCTTGCGTGAGCGTGCGCATGAGACGTGCACGACGCAGCTCTCGGCGTGCCCTTGCGGTAGTCGCGCGGCGCCTGTGCCGTGTAGTTGTCGTCAGACGAGCCGTTTGGGCTCATAACTTGTTCGCTCATAGTGGTCGATGAGAAGAAGTCTGTAGCGCTGGGGTAAAAGGATTCTGTCATTGTTTTTGGTGTTATTGTAACGGGGTGAGTCGTTACATAACAATTTATAAGAAATTGTTAATAGAATATAACTATAAGAGTTATATTCTCAGAATATTGTCATAAGGACAAATATTCTGTAGCACTTACGAATAGTTCCTAATTGGTTGATATAGGCCATTATATCAACCAACGAAGACGCGCCACGACAGACGCACGCAATGAGTGGTGAGCAGCTAATTGATGTGCACATTTGTATTTAGACATAGTTAGATGAAGATAAATAGTGATTTATTGCAGACATTAACTATTATAAATACAGTTCTACTTCTTACTCTAACCAAGTACTCGCTTCTTCTTACCGTCTTCCTCTGCACGTACGAGTGTACGTGAAGTTACGAGGCACCGCCTTATTCTGTCATCAGAATAAGTAGCTTGTACTGTCACCAGTACAAGCTTCAGGGTGCCCCGTTACAGTTATCGTTTCTTGCTACGATGATGGACTAGTTGTTCTTGTTCTCCATCACTCCTATCCAATCAATCAACCATCCACTATGATGTCCACTCAATCACTAATCTTCCTACATCTCTCCAAGTCGTCAGCCGTTACTTCAACCGTTGCTACAACCTTTACCTCAACCGTTACGGGTAACCATGCCGTTTTCTAACACCTCCGTCAACTTTGAAAGAGCTTGGTGGAATTTGACATGACATATATCACGCAGTAGCTCCTTTACGAACGCTAGTAGTCCGTCTATACTATCTTCTGCAAACCATGATCATTCGTGGCAATCATATACAATAGACATTCACACATCGCAATAATGATTCTCTGTCGCTATGGAGGGGATTGGTCCGTGCTTGCAATACAGACGCACTAACCTCCAATTGAGCTTTGCCGAGACGAAGCAAATTGTTTGCGCCTGGAGTTCAATACGTGGTCTCCACATTCACTCAAGCTAAGGATGGCAAATACCACACAAAAGCACACCAGCGATACGAGTTCATCCAAGCACAGTCTGGGTATGTTTTCACCCTCAGTAACGAGCTCAGGAAATACAAGCGCATCAATGTATTCACTACGTTTGCTGGTTGACGCGTGCCCGCACTTAAACTAAAGCGCTAGACACTGGAACCATTTCGTGGGTTTCTGTGAGTCCTTAAAGATACCGTCACCCGTCATGAATGCCGTGTCCGCGTGGTTCAGCTTTGATCGGTAGAATCGATTCAGGTAATGGTCCCCAAAGATGGCATCGTCGAGACCACCCAAACAGCTACGATACTCTACGAGGCCGTCGTTTTTGCTGGATTTGTGAGAGACGACCTTGGCTGCAATAACGGAGGGGGCTTGGTATTTCGAAAAGACGCCATAGTAGCTGTCGCTGCATATTGCAGCTGCCACATTGTCACGATAAGCTTTTTGCGCCGCTGCATACGCTTCGTTAATGGCTGGAGTGCTGTACTTCTCGCCTTGGTAGACTGTCGTCCCGCGGGAAGGCATCAGTGGACACTGGCCAAGCAATCCAAATAGTCCTTCAGCGATGGCATCTTTTTTCCCCCGCAGACATCTAACATGTAATCCGAAGTCATGCTACCACCCATTGGTGGACTGAGCGATACCCACGACGTGTTCGGTGAGAATGAGCACTTTCCATTTGCCAATGCACTAGCCATCACGAGGCCGCCCATCGAATGGGTCACAATGATCGCGTTGTCAATAATCCCAGCAGCTACGTCACTCGAAGCGCTCAGGGAGAGCGAGAAGTTGCAGTATTTCTGTTGCAACATGTCGTCCCTCCATCCGACGTCGGCGGTGTTGATTACAGCATACTTGACTGAAGAGCAAAACGGGGCGTTGATATTGCCTATCCTATCACGGACCAAGTCCGGCGTGTTCTGCAATTCGGTTCTTTCGTGCGGGTTACCGAGACCATGAAATATGATGCAAGGGCGACGTTTTGACGTTTGTTGACACTCGGTCGCCTGCATGGCCATGTGAGACTCTGCCTTTAGACCTCTTGTCGTACTTGACATCAAATTACTCCCACGCATCAGAGATAAAGCGGTTGGTGTCATCAGTGTGGCTGGTGCGACAGGTTTGCATGAGCTTCTTCCATCGGATAGCTTTGGTTCTTGAATACGCTCCTGTCGGTCGAGATACTCGACAGCAATGTCCAAGTCACTGCTGAATGCCGTGAATCCGGCTTCGCCAGACACGCAGATGGCGTAGTGCACGCCAACGAACGACGTCTTGAACAAATTCCCTTCTGGACATTTGACTGCTTCCTCGCCAATGGATGCACTTGGAATTCGCGAAACGTCATTCAACGCGGGCAAAATCCTGTCAAACGGTAGTGCATTAGGCGAGAGACATCCAACCGTCTCGACACCGCTAGTGTCTTTGGTCGTTAGGTAAGCAGCGCCATTTGCAAGAGTGTACGTAATCTCCGACCCGTTGTCAAGAAACGTGGCATATCCGTCGTAGAGGACACTCGCACCATTTGCAGATATGACTGGAGTCGCGTAGACGTCAAAGGACAAGGTCCCGTGCAACCTCATCTTTTCACGTTTCATCATGACACGAAGTCGTACAGATGGTGCACCTGTCAGTACACTCGGTCTCTGCGAAGTCTCTGTAGAAGCTGCTAGCTGCAAGAGCCCTAACAAGGCAAAGACAAACGCAATGACGACTTGCATGAAATATCCGAGTGCAGTTTCTCGTCCAGCAGGAAGTTTGTAAATGACACTTCATTAGCAAACGAAAGGTAGCAAGTCTGAACGAGCACAACTCAACGACCGGCTTTGTGTCTCATCGGAGTTGTTCCAGTCAAGAGCCCATCGGGTGTACGACTTTCTACTGTGCGAGATAGACGCTGCAATCGCGCAAGGCCGATACCGCCAATGGACAATTCGTGTCCGGAGACTTTCGGCGTCTACCTAACTGGTGCTTTCAATGACAAATTCCTGAAAGCATCGGTTTGCACAAACCGAGGTGGTACTTCTTCTAGATGAGGTAGCTAGTGTTGCCCGAATGCATGAATCGTAGGGGCGAAACGTGGATAGGTGTCGTTTCAAGTACACTACTCACGAGTAAGTAATGAACCGCACGTTCCATTACAAGGCTGCGACAGATATCCCAGCCACACATGCACTCGTTCGCATGCGGGCTTCAGCCCGTCAAGATCCGGCTATCCTATCCTATACATTATTAGAGTATCGTGTGGTCGACTGTTTGTCAAGCTTGTACTTGACCTTCTGCTCGTCGTATGATTGCCATTACATGCGTCAAGTTCAAAAAATAGGCGTCGTGTAACGGGGTGAATCGTTACATAACAATTTATAAGAAATTGTTAATAGAATATAACTATAAGAGTTATATTCTCAGAATATTGTCATAAGGATAAATATTCTGTAGCACTTACGAATAGTTCCTAATTGGTTGATATAGGTCATTATATCAACCAACGAAGACGCGCCACGACAGACGCACGCAATGAGTGGTGAGCAGCTGATTGATTTACACATTTGTATTCAGACATAGTTAGATGAAGATAAATAGTGATTCATTGCAGACATTAACTATTATAAATACAGTTCTACTTCTTACTTTAACCAAGTACTCGCTTCTTCTTACCGTCTTTCTCTGCACGTACGAGTGTACGTGAAGTTCCGAGGCACCGCCTTATTTTGTCATCAGAATAAGTAGCTTGTACTGTCACCAGTACAAGCTTCAGGGTGCCCCGTTACACCTGGTAGCACTTCGTAGTCCGTCCAAGGACCACGTTCACATCTAACATGAATATGTCAGATGATGAAGATGACCGAAGCTTTCACGCTACGCGTGGCGGCTACTCCCATTTGAGCGATGTCGAATGGGATGCGGTTGAACGAATGGGTTCGACCATGGGCATCCATGCTGTTAGCGTCATGCTAGAGGCTCTCAATAGAGATGCCCAACATGCTACTATCGCCAAGTTCATTCAAAATGAACTTGACGCAGAACGCGAGAAAGTAGCCTTGCTTCACCAACAAGGTTCTCAACAAGCAGAGTTGTTGAGAGAACAAGGTGCTCAACAGTTTGAACTGTTGAGACAGCAGCAGGCTGCTGCTGGCGGGTCGATGCACTCGCGTCGGCCCGAGACTTTGAAGATTGACATCTCAAAGTATAGGGGGTCGAAGAAGACTCCCTCTTGAGATGGTTCGTCGAATTGGATGACGCCATAAGGGCGCGTCGCATCGACGACGGGGATATGCAAGTTGCATTTGCCCAGTCAAATCTGGCAGGACGTGCCAAGACTTGGGCACTGGGGCTCAAGCTGCACGACCCATATGCGTTTGGGTCGTTGGAAGTTTCTTCAAGTCGCGGCTCAGACAAACGTTTGAACCGCCTAGAGCTGAGTTCAGAGCTCGAACCGAACTCTTGAAGCTCAAGCAGGGTAAGCGTGATGTGCACGCTTACGCTCAACATATACGACATCTCACGAGTTGTATAAGTTCCAATCCGGTGGATGAACACACGTTGGTTTCGGTGTTCATGCAGGGTCTTGCGGATGGTCCCGTCAAGACTCACCTGTTCCGGCTTGAACTAGATTCACTAGAACAAGCCATTTCAATTGCGGAGCAGGAAGACTTCAGTCTGAGACAGGCTCGCGCCAGCTCGACATCATATCGTCAACCGAGACGATATGACAACGGAGGTCCAGAGCCGATGGAACTCTGTTATGTAGAGAGCGAGAAGGCTCGCTCTACAGGCTACAAGAAGTTGCAGAGATGCAACAGATGTCAAAAGACAGGACACTACGCTTACGAGTGTAGTGCCCCTCGTCCAGTGTCTCGCGACACTGGGCGTAGTGACCGTCCACCCATGAGAAAGGGGCAGGGACGAGGGTCCACTGTTGGTGCAAAGACGCAACAACGGGATGGGCCGTCAAAAAACGGACAGGATCAGTAGGTGCGGAGCACCCTACTGATCCAGCAACGTCAAGAGAATTTGTAGGCCTCTTGATGAAGGTTGCTCCCAACACACAGACATTGTGCGTTGCTGCTCTAGGTAATGAGATCTCACTCATTACCTTGAAACTCGAAGTGACGAATAAGTTGTCCCTTCGAGCTCTAGTCGATTGTGGGGCGTCCAACAATTTTGTGCGACGCCAATCGCTAGAAGATGGTCACTTTAAATTCAGTGAATGTGACATACCTCCTACGAGGATGACGGTACGTCTTGCGACAGGCGCATCCGTAACCGTCATGAAGCGTATAGTGAAGATTCACTATACGCTAGAAGATACCCAATACGACGATGACTTTATCGTATTGGATTTGGATGACAAATTTGATGTCATCCTTGGAATACCGTGGCTCAGAAGGTACGAACCACGGGTAAACTGGCAACATCGGACAGTAACGATGCCTGCCGCTTGTTCATCAGATGGCCATCTGATGAACGTTTTGGAGCGTCCACAAGCGTGTGGATGTACTACGAGTGAGTGCGATGGCCTCACTTGTGGTACGGTCGTTAGTACGACTGCACAAAACCTTAGTGTACCAAACGGTTACACTTCGGAGCAAAGTTCCGGCGGCTGTGAGGAATAACAGGCTGCGCCGAAGGTCCACCACTCGAATAAGTCGGGTGGACTGGGACAAAGATGTATCCCTAGAGGGGAACATCTAGAAGAGAAACAATCGATCGCTCAGGTTAAGCGAAACGATAATCCTAGATCGACTGGAGAGTCTTTCGTAGAGGATCTCGCTGTGGTTGCGCAACCCCAGCTAGAGGAAGTAAAGGGAATAAGTCCCAAGATTACAAATACGGCGGAAATAAGTTCCCCAAAACCCGCGGGAATAAGTCCCCGGGAAGCCGAAGGAATAAGTCCTTCGAAGCCTGAGGGAATAAGTCCCCAGGAAATGACAGAGACATTGAATGCCATAGTCAATAACGGATCATGTGTAGGCGCTTATACACTTGATCTGATTGCGCCTCCGAAGTTAACTTCGGAGATCACTCAGTTGCCAACGCTCGAACATAAAAGGTTCTTGCGTGATCTGCGTAGTGGCAAAGTCAAGCAGATCTGCATACTCGTCGCTGACGACGAGTATGTAACCGACATAAGGTCAGCAACAGTGTTTACTGAGAACGAGAGAGTTCTCAGTAGTTCATCTATGGACGAGAGTGTCCTAGATGAAAAGACACGAATTGAGCGATATGAGTCCCAATCATGGGAATCGCTCAAGGAAAATCCTCTCTATGAAGATTTGGTTGAATTCAAGGATGTATTCCCTGAAACTGTTCCGTGCGAATTACCGAAGGATAAAGGTATTCGACACGAAGTCGAGCTTAAACCAGGATCGAAGTACTGTGTCATGAAGCAGTGGCCACTGCCTCGTGAACAAGTACTTGCGATCGACAAGTTCTTTGCCGATCGTTTAGCAGCGGGCCATGTGAGGGAATCAACTTCCCCACATAGCTCTCCGACCTTCTGTGTGCGAAAAGCAACAGGAGGGTGGCGGATAGTGCACGCGTTTAACAAATTGAACGCTGCAACGGTACCGGCTCAGACGCCGATACCGAGGAAGGACGTAATCATTGATGGTATGTCAAAGAGTACCATCTTTTCGTCCATGGATTTGATGGATGGCTTCTATCAAATCCTTATGCGGGAACGGGATATACCCTATACCGCAGTTAGCACACCTAGCGGCATGCTCTGGGAATGGCTGGTAATGCCACAAGGGCTCAGTAATGCCCCTGCCACGTTCAACAGGTGTGTATCACATCTGTTGAGGCCAGTACGAGAATTCGCGCCGAGTTATTTCGATGACGTATTCATCCATAGTCGAGCTATGGATGGAAAGTCGGACGTTGAGGTTCACAAGTACCACGTCCGACAAGTTCTTACAATCATGCGAAAGCATCAATTGTATGCAAACCTCAAGAAGTGTTTATTTGCAGCAAGCGAAATACCACTTCTTGGGTGCATCGTTGGTAAGAACGGTGTACGTCCTGATCCCGAAAAGATCAAGGCGATCACCGACTGGCCCGTGCCGGTCGATGTCAAAGGTCTTCAAAAATTCCTTGGGCTAGCAGCGTATTTGCATAAGTATTCACGCAATTACGCCGAGATGACTGTACACCTCTCTCGTTTGTTGAAAAAGAACGAGAGGTGGATATGGAACGCTGAATGTCAACGCTCCTTTGAGGGTATCAAGCAGAGCTTGATACAATCCCCAGTCCTAGCAATAGCCGATCAGGACAGGCCATTTCATGTGGTCTGTGATGCCAGCGATTTCGCAATCGGCTGTGCATTAATGCAGTACGACCTTGAAGGCGTTGAACGCGTCGTCTGCTATCAGTCGCGTCAGCTGCAACCAGCTGAGCGGAACTATCCAGTGCATGACAAGGAACTCCTTGCCATGAAGCATGCACTCGCGAAGTTCAGAGTATATCTATTAGGAGATAGACCCTTCGTTGGTTACACTGACCATGCGTCATTACGCACGGCAGTGAACAGCCCGCACCTTTCACAACGAATGGCGCGGTGGTTGTCATTCTTTGCAGAATACAACTTTACGGTCGAGTACAAACCAGGACGACTTAATGTCGTCGCTGATGCACTCTCACGTCGTCCCGACTTTGAAACAGTCGCGAAACCCAACAGTGAGACAGTCACTGTTGCGGTTATGACGTCCTCAGTTCCATCTACAACGTTGTATGATGATGTGAGGCGGGCATACGCCCAAGATGGTGAGATAGTGAAGTTGTTGTCACATCTCTCCCAACCATCTCGAGAATCGTTGAAACGATTGTCGTCTGCGTATCGATCTGCATCAGATCGATACACTACTCGTAACGGTTTACTGTACTATACAGCCGTTTCTGGTGACACACCACGTGTTGTCATTCCAGATAATACTGATCTGCGTTTGCGGATCATGTTCGAGTATCACGATGCTCCTATAGGAGGACATCGTGGCCGAGAGAAAACATATCTCACGGTAAGTCGAGACTTTTACTGGCCCCGCCAGTATCAGTTTGTGCGAAAGTATGTTCGCGCATGCGAAGTCTGCCAACGAGTGAAGTCAAGTCCTTCACTGCGTGCACCTTTACAGCCTCTACCGGTTCCGGCTGAGTGCTGGGAATCCATCTCAATGGATTTCGTCTTTGGGTTACCCAAAGACGCACGCGGGAATACGGGTATTCTCGTATTTGTTGACAGACTCAGCAAAATGGTACACCTTGTGGCTGTACCAGAGACAATCACGGCAAGTGGCTGTGCTTGTGTCTTTATTGACACCATCTTCCGACTTCATGGGTTGCCCCGTGAACTCGTATCAGACAGAGATCCACGCTTTACAGCTGATTTCTGGCGTTCCGTGTTCAAATCACTCGGAACGCGCTCGAAGATGTCAACATCTGATCATCCAGAGTCAGATGGTCAGACGGAACGTGCCAATCGTGTCCTTGAAGAGATACTTCGAGGATACGTACACTCCTTTAAGAGTTAGAGTAAGTTTTTGCCGATGGTAGAGTTTGCCATCAACAACTCGGTGCATGCGTCCACGACACATACACCGTTTTACGTGAATGGCTTGCACCATCCGCGTGTACCCACCTTACTAGAGTGTAACTCTGGTTTAAGGGGGGGAGGGACTCGCGCGAGCAAAAACCGATTTGGTTCACGCTCATCACGCTCTGACGAAGAAGTCATTGCGTTTGATGCCGATATCGATAACATCGATATCGAAGAAGATGATGCCAGTGAGAGTGCGGAAGCCCTCACTGAAGACAATGATCCCAGTGAGAGTGCGGAAGCCCTCACTGAAGAAAAGGTTGATGTTGCTGCAGTGCGCTCACAGCACACTGAAGCTAACGAGTCATCAGATGAGTTCATACTGGCTCGTGAAACGGTAGTCCGTTTTGTGCAAGACTCCATCGCCGAAGCGGTAGTAAAGCAAAAGCAAAACGCTGACAAGAATGGAAGGGCAAACGCTCTTTTATTTAATAAAGGTGACTTAGTCCTACTGTCTACGGTTAATCTACCAAAGCATGTAGTGACTAACTTGGGTAGCAGTAAACTACTACCCAAGTACATTGGCCCATTTCGTGTATTGCACCGCCTAGGCAATGCATACACGATCGAGTTACCACGTAAGATGCGAACGCATCCCACGTTTTACGTTGGTCGGCTTAAGCCGTACCATCAGTACGCTGCTTCTTCCGATGAAGAACGCCCTTGCGCTCAAGCATCTCGCAGAGAGCCTTGTGCTCCCGATGGTGGGCATCAACAAGGGTCTGAAGAGCAGTTATCTCAGCCCGAGACCGATCAACAATCCCACGAGCTACCCTTAGCTCGTCACGAAGAGATGTCAGAGATCTCTCGTTCTCAAGCTGAGCAAAGGCAAACTCAGCTCGATGCTTCGAGGCAGTGTCCACCATCTGGAGACGCCTGTCCCGCTCATGCTCGAGATCGTCGCGTAACCCTTGCGTTACGCGATCAAAGAAGCTCTCGGGAACACACCGATCCACATGATCGTGTGGAGAGCGTCTTTCCTCCTCCTCCACCTCCATTAGAGGACTCTCGCGGTGGCCAGCGCTATCTAGTTGAGCAGCTGTTGAACCACCGCGACGTGAACGGACGTCGGACGAGTTACCTCGTCCGGTGGCGCGGCTATCCCCAGTCCTGGGATTCTTGGGAGCCCCGCTCCCAATTGATGGTTGACGTACTGGGTCTGGTCGAGCAGTACGACGCGACACATCCTGTGCCGCAGAAGGACCGCCGGAGAAAGTCTTCCCGGCACGGTCGTAAAGGGATTTCAGGTTGTCAATCCCTTCGTACATCTCAGTAGAGACACGTACGCGCCACCACGGGCTGGTAAGGAGGTAAGCCTCCTTAGGTGCTCGTGCAGAGTTGTTCACACAACATGGGCACGAGTCTCCACAAGAGAGGCAGGGTAATCCTTTCTCCCTTGACAGACGATGCAGCTTGTAGCGTGCACCTGTCGGGGTTCGCTTTTCAAACTTATCACGAGCTTTGATAAGTTTGTCGTTTCAAGCGTCACGACCTACATCCTCGAGATTATGGATGTAGGCGTTCCACGCCTGAAGTAGTGAGGGACCATCACGTTTGTGATTCCCACTGTACCATCGATGTCTGAAGAAAGCATCGATGAAGAACTCATGTTCAGCGCGATAGTCTTTCGCGCTGGGGTCAAGGTGATGAATCCTTGACGAATCGAACAATCGTGTTCGATAACGATCACTCGTCGTCGCCGACAAGTGATCCATGACAGATTTAGGAGGCATCCATGCCTTCTTTTCTGGAGCGAGACGCAACACATTGCGGTCCCGCTCTTCCTGCGATGTGCCGACAGAAGTACTGGCACCTCGCTGTGAAGTGGTGTCCATTGGAGGAACGACACCACTATTAGCGCCCGAGTCTCGCGACCTCGAGCGCCTTCGCTTCGGCGATGGTTCATCTGACTCATCAGATGAACCAAAGATGCTGCGACGCAAAGCATCGTCCATGCCACGCTTGGCAGGCGGCTTGGATTCAATTGCCGTCGATACGGATCCGTCATCCGTATCAGGAGAGTACGAGACACCGAGCTCGTACTCTGTGAAGACACGAGTGTCTTCATGACCAGCGCCTGCATCACCAGGTGATACAGGCTGAGGTCTCTTCAGCAACCGATGAGACATCAGTTGCTGTAGTTTCTGCTTCGGCGTCCGCACAGAGACGTGCAGACGCGCTCTCGGCGGCCTTGCTCGCGCATCGCATGGGCTTGTTTACCATGCGATGAGATGTTGGAAAGTGGACGCGGACCAACAAGTGCAAACCCCGTCCCAAATGATTTGGGACGAGTATCCATTTAGTCAATCAGTCACTAAAGTGACTGATGGTTAAGGGGGTGATGTAACGGGGTGAATCGTTACATAACAATTTATAAGAAATTGTTAATAGAATATAACTATAAGAGTTATATTCTCAGAATATTGTCATAAGGACAATATTCTGTAGCACTTCCAAGTAGTTCCTAATTGGTTGATATAGGCCATTATATCAACCAACAAAAGACGCCCACGACAGACGCACGCAATGAGTGGTGAGCAGATAACTGATTTACACATTTGTATTTAGACATAGTTAGATGAAGATAAATAGTGATTTATTGCAGACATTAACTATTATAAATACAGTTCTACTTTTTACTCTAACCGAGTACTCGCTTCTTCTTACCGTCTTCCTCTGCACGTACGAGTGTACGTGAAGTTACGAGGCACCGCCTTATTCTGTTATCAGAATAAGTAGCTTGTACTATCACCAGTACAAGCTTCAGGGTGCCCCGTTACACGTCGCCTTGTTGAAAGATTGAAAAAACACGAAGATGCGATCCTACCCTGGACTGCCGTCATTATCTTGAGTATAGAGGGGGACCCAGCTGCTGACTTCTGCAGTCCGAGCTGATATGTTGCTTGCACATACTGCGGATTGACTCACTGTATCGGGGCACCCTGAAGCTTGTACTGGTGACAGTACAAGCTACTTATTCCGATGACAGAATAAGGCGGTGCCTCGGAACTTCACGTACACTCGTACGTGCAGAGAAAGACGGTAAGAAGAAGCGAGTACTTGGTTAAAGTAAGAAGTAGAACTGTATTTAGTATAGTTAATGTCTGCAATGAATCACTATTTATCTTCATCTAACTATGTCTAAATACAAATGTGTAAATCAATTAGCTGCTCACCACTCATTGCGTGCGTCTGTCGTGGCGCGTCTTCGTTGGTTGATATAATGACCTATATCAACCAATTAGGAACTATTCGTAATGCTACAGAATATTTGTCCTTATGACAATATTCTGAGAATATAACTCTTATAGTTATATTCTATTAACAATTTCTTATAAACTGTTATGTAACGGTTCACCCCGTTACATCACCCCCCCCTTAACCATCAGTCACTTTAGTGACTGATTGACTAAATGGATACTCGTCCCAAATCATTTGGGACAGGGTTTGCACTTGTTGGTCCGAGTCCACTTTCCAACAGTTCATCGCATGGTTAACAAGCCCATGCGATGCGCGAGCAAGGCCGCCGAGAGCGCGTCTGCACGTCTCTGTGCGGACGCCGAAGCAGAAACAACAGCAACTGATGTCCCATCGGTTGCTGAAGAGACCCAGCCTGTGTCACTTGGTGATGCAGGCGCTGGTCATGAAGACACTCGTGTCTTCACAGAGTACGAGCTCGGTGTCTCATACTCTCCTGATACGGATGACGGATCCGTATCGACAGCGATTGAATCTAAGCCGCCTGCCAAGCGTGGCATGGATGATGCTTTGCGTCGCAGCATCTTTGGTTCATCTGATGAATCAGATGAGCCATCGCCGAAGCGTAGGCGCTCGAGATCGCAAGACTCGGGCGCTAATAGTGGTGTCGGTTCTCCTATGGACACCACTTCGCAACGAGGTACCAGTACTTCTGTCGGCACGTCGCAGGAAGAGCGGGACCGCAATGTCTTGCGTCTTGATCCAGAAAAGAAGGTATAGATGCCTCCTAAATCCGTCATGGATCACTTGTCGGCGACGACGAGTGATCGTTATCGAACACGATTGTTCGATTCGTCAAGGATCCATCACCTTGACCCCAGCGCGAAAAACTATCGCGCTGAACATGAATTCTTCATCGATGCTTTCTTTAGACATCGATGGTACAGTGGGAATCACAAACGTGATGGTCCCTCACTGTTTCAAGCGTGGAACGCTTACATCCATAACCTTTGAGGATGTAGGTCGTGACGTTTTGGAACGACAAACTTATCAAAGCTCGTGATAAGTTTGAAAAGCGAACCCAGACAGGTGCACGCTACAAGCTGCATCGTCTGTCAAGGGAGAGTGGGTTACCCTGCCTCTCGTGGGGAGACTCGTGCCCATGTTGTGTGAACAACTCTGCACGAGCACCTAAGGAGGCTTACCTCCTTACTAGCCCGTGGTGGAGCGTCCGTATCTCTACTGAGATGTACGAAGGGATTGACAACCTGAAATCCCTTTACGACCGTGCCGGGAAGACTTTCTCCGGCGGTCCTTCTGCGGCACAGGATGTGCCGCGTCGTACTGCTCAACCAGACCCAGTACGTCGATCATCAGTTGGGAGCGGGGCTCCCAAGAATCCCAGGACGGGGGATAGCCGCGCCACCGGACGAGATAACTCGTCCGACGTCCGTTCACGTCGCGGTGGTTCAACAGCCGCTCTACCAGATAGCGCTGGCCACCGCGAGAGTCCTCTAATGGGGGTGGAGGAGGAGGAAAGACGCTCTCCACACGATCATGGGGATCCATGTGTTCCCGAGAGCCTCTTTGATTGCGTAACGCAAGGGTTACGCGACGATCTCGAACATAAGCGGGACAGGCGTCTCCAAATGGCGGACACTGCCTCGAAGCATCGAGCTGAGTTTGCCTTTGCTCAGCTTGAGAACGAGAGATCTCTGACATCTCTTCGTGACGAGCTAAGGGTACCTCGTGGGATTGTTGATCGGTCTCGGGATGAGATAGCTGCTCTTCAGACCCTTGTTGATGCCCACCATCGGGAGCACAAGGCTCTCTGCGAGATGCTTGAGCGCAAGGGCGTTCTTCATCGGAAGAAGCAGCGTACTGATGGTACGGCTTAAGCCGACCAACGTAAAACGTGGGATGCGTTCGCATCTTACGTGGTAACTCGATCGTGTATGCGTTGCCTAGGCGATGCAATACACGAAATGGACCGATGTACTTGGGTAGTAGTTTACTGCTACCCAAGTTAGTCACTACATGCTTTGGTAGATTAACCGTAGACAGTAGGACTAAGTCACCTTTATTAAATAAAAGAGTGTTTGCCCTTCCATTCTTATCAGCGTTTTGCTTTTGCTTATCCACCGCTTCGGCGATGGAGTCTTGCACAAAACGGACTACCGTTTCACGAGCCAGTATGAACTCATCTGATGACTCGTTAGCTTCAGTGTGCTGTGAGCGCACTGCAGCAACATCAACCTTTTCTTCAGTGAGGGCTTCCGCGCTCTCACTTGCATCATCTTCTTCGATATCGATGCTGTCGATATCGGCATCAAACGCAGTGACTTCTTCGTCAGAGCGTAATGAGCGTGAACCAATCCGGTTTTTGCTCGCGCGAGTCTCCCCCCCCTTAAACCAGAGTTACACTCTAGTAAGGTGGGTACACGCGGATGGTGCAAGCCATTCACGTAAAACGGTGTATGTATCGTGGACGCATGCACCGAGTTGTTAATGGCAAACTCTACCATTGGTAAAAGCTCACTCTAACTCTTAAAGGAGTGTACGTATCCTCGAAGTATCTCTTCAAGGACACGATTGGCACGTTCCGTCTGACCATCTGACTCTGGATGATCAGATGTTGACATCTTCAAGCGCGTTCCGAGTGATTTGAACACGGAACGCCAGAAATCAGCTGTAAAGCGTGGATCTCTGTCTGATACGAGTTCACGGGGCAATTCATGAAGTCGGAAGATGGTGTCAATAAAGACACAAGCACAGCCACTTGCCGTGATTGTCTCTGGTACAGCCACAAGGTGTACCATTTTGCTGAATCTGTCAACAAATACGAGAATACCCGTATTCCCGTGTGCGTCTTTGGGTAACCCAAAGACAAAATCCATTGAGTTGGATTCCCAGCACTCAGCCGGAACCGGTAGAGACTGTAATGGTGCACGCAGTGAAGGACTTGACTTCACTCGTTGACAGACTTCACATGCGCGGACGTACTTGCGCACAAACTGATACTGGCGGGGCCAGTAAAAGTCTCGACTTACCGTGAGATATGTTTTCTCACGTTCACAATGTCCTCCTATAGGAGCATCGTGATACTCGAACATGATCCGCAAACGCAGATCAGTATTATCTGGAATGACAACACGTGGTGTGTCACCAGAAACGGCTGTATAATACAGTAACCCGTTGTGAGTAGTGTATCGATCTGATGCAGATCGATACGCAGACGACAATCGTTTCAACGATTCTCGGGATGGTTGGGAGAGATGTGTCAACAACTTCACTATCTCACCATCTTGGGCGTATGCCCGCCTCACATCATCATACAACGTTGTAGATGGAACTGAGGACGTCATAAACGCAACAGTGGCTGTCTCACTGTTGGGTTTCACGACTGGTTCAAAGTCGGGACGACGTGAGAGTGCATCAGTGACGACGTTAAGTCGTCCTGGTTTGTACTCGACCGTAAAGTTGTATTCTGCAAAGAATGACAACCACCGCGCCATTCGTTGTGAAAGGTGCGGGCTGTTCACTGCCGTGCGTAATGACGCATGGTCAGTGTAACCAACGAAGGGTCTATCTCCTAATAGATATACTCTGAACTTCGCGAGTGCATGCTTCATGGCAAGGAGTTCCTTGTCATGCACTGGATAGTTCCGCTCAGCTGGTTGCAGCTGACGCGACTGATAGCAGACGACGCGTTCAACGCCTTCAAGGTCGTACTGCATTAATGCACAGCCGATTGCGAAATCGCTGGCATCACAGACCACATGAAATGGCCTGTCCTGATCGGCTATTGCTAGGACTGGGGATTGTATCAAGCTCTGCTTGATACCCTCAAAGGAGCGTTGACATTCAGCGTTCCATAACCACCTCTCGTTCTTTTTCAACAAACGAGAGAGGTGTACAGTCATCTCGGCGTAATTGCGTGAATACTTGTGCAAATACGCCGCTAGCCCAAGGAATTTTCGAAGACCTTTGACATCAACCGGCACAGGCCAGTCGGTGATCGCCTTGATCTTTTCGGGATCAGGACGTACACCGTTCTTGCCAACGATGCACCCAAGAAGTGGTATTTCGCTTGCTGCAAATAAACACTTCTTGAGATTGGCATACAATTGATGCTCTCGCATGATTGTAAGAACCTGTCGGACGTGGTACCTGTGAACCTCAACGTCCGACTTTCCATACGTAGCCCGACTATGGATGAATACGTCATCGAAATAGCTCGGCGCGAATTCTCGTACTGGTCTCAACAGATGTGTCACACATCTGTTGAACGTGGCAGGGACATTACTAAGCCCTTGTGGCATTACTAGCCATTCCCAGAGCATGCCGCTAGGTGTGCTCACTGCGGTATAGGGTATGTACCGTTCCCGCATAAGGATTTGATAGAAGCCATCCATCAAATCCATGGACGAAAAGATGGTACTCTTTGACACAACATCAATGATTACGTCCTTCCTTGGTATTGGCGTCTGAGCCGGTACCGTTGCAGCATTCAACTTGTTAAATGCGTGCACTATCCGCCACCCTCCTGTTGCTTTTCGCACACAGAAGGTCGGAGAGCTACGTGGGGAAGTGTGTTATTCCCTCACATGGCCCGCAGCTAAACGATCGGCAAAGAACTTGTCGATCGCAAGTACTTGTTCACGAGGCAGTGGCCACTGCTTCATGACACAGTACTTCGAGCCTGGTTTAAGCTCGACTTCGTGTCGAATACCTTTATCCTTCGGTAATTCGCACGGAACAGTTTCAGGGAATACATCCTTGAATTCAACCAAATCTTCATAGAGAGGATTTTCCTTGAGCGATTCCCATGATTGGGACTCATATCGCTCAATTCGTGTCTTTTCATCTAGGGCACTCTCGTCCATAGATGAACTACTGAGAACTCTCTCGTTCTCAGTAAACACTGTTGCTGACCTTATGTCGGTTACATACTCGTCTTCAGCGACGAGTATGCAGATCTGCTTGACTTTGCCACTACGCAGATCACGCAAGAATCTTTTATGTTCGAGCGTTGGCAACTGAGTGATCTCCGAAGTTAACTTTGGAGGCGCAATCAGATCAAGTGTATAAGCGCCTACACATGATCCATCATTGACTATGACATTCAAGGTCTCTGTCATTTCATGGGGACTTATTCCCTCAGGCTTCGAAGGACTTATTCCTTCGTCTTCCCGGGGACTTATTCCCGCGGGTTTTGGGGAACTTATTTCCGCCGTATTTGTAATCTTGGGACTTATTCCCTTTACTTCCTCTAGCGGTGGTTGCGCAACCACAGCGAGATCCTCTACGAAAGACTCTCCAGTCGATCTAGGATTATCGTTTCGCTTAACCTGAGCGATCGGTTGTTTCTCTTCTAGATGTTCCCCGCTAGGGATACATCTTTGTCCCAGTCCACCCGACTTATTCGAGTGGTGGACCTTCGGCGCAGCCTGTTATTCCTCACAGCCGCCGGAACTTTGCTCCGAAGTGTAACCGTTTGGTACACTAAGGTTTTGTGCAGTCGTACTAACGACCGTACCACAAGTGAGGCCATCGCACTCACTCGTAGTACATCCACACGCTTGTGGACGCTCCAAAACGTTCGTCAGATGGCCATCTGATGAACAAGCGGCAGGCATCGTTACTGTTCGATGTTTCCAGTTTACTCGTGGTTCGTACCTTCTGAGCCACGGTATTCCAAGGATGACATCAAATTTGTCATCCAAATCCAATACGATAAAGTCATCGTCATATTGGGTATCTTCTAGCGCATAGTGGATCTTAACTATACGCTTCATGACGGTTACGGATGCGCCTGTCGCAAGACGTACCGTCATCTTCGTAGGAGGTGTGTCACATTCACTGAACTTAAAATGACCATCTTCTAGCGATTGGCGTCGCACAAAATTGTTGGACGCCCCACAATCGACTAGAGCTCGAAGGGACAACTTATTCGTCACTTCTAGTTTCAAGGTAATGAGTGAGACCTCATTACCTAGAGCAGCAACGCACAACGTTTGTGTGTTGGGAGCAACCTTCATCAAGAGGCCTACAAATTCTCTTGACGTTGCTGGACCAGTAGGGTGCTCCGCACCTACTGATCCTGTCCGTTTTTTTGACGGCCCATCCCGTTGTTGCGTCTTTGGACCAACAGTGGACCCTCGTCCTTGCTTCTTTCTCATGGGTGGACGGTCATTACGCCCAGTGTCGCGAGATACTGGACGAGGGGCACTACACTCGTAAGCGTAGTGTCCTGTCTTTTGACATCTGTTGCATCTCTGCAACTTCTTGTAGCCTGTAGAGCGAGCCTTCTCGCTCTCTACATAACAGAGTTCCATCGGCTCTGGACCTCCTCTGTCATATCGTCTCGGTGGACGATATGATGTCGAGCTGGCGCGAGCCTGTCTCAGACTGAAGTCTTCCTGTTTCGCAGTGGAAATGGCTTGTTCTAGTGAATCCAGTTCAAGTCGGAACAGGTGAGTCTTGACGAGACCATCCGCAAGACCCTGCATGAACACCGAAACCAACGTGTGTTCATCAACTGGGTTGGAACTTATACAACTCGTGAGATGTCGTATACGTTGCGCGTAAGCGTGCACATCACGCTTACCTTGTTTGAGCTTCAAGAGTTCAGTCCGAGCTCTGAACTCAGCCCTAGGCGGTTCAAACGTTTGTCTGAGCCGCGACTTGAAGACTTCCAACGACCCAAACGCATATGGGTCGTGCAACTTGAGCCCCAAAGCCTAAGTCTTGGCACGTCCTGCCAGATTTGATTGGGAAAATGCAACTTGCATATCCCCGTCGTCGATGCGACGCGCCCTTATGGCGTCGTCTAATTTGACGAACCATCTCAAGAGGGAGTCTTCTTCGACCCCCCGTATGCTTGGAGATGTCAATC